AGGGCTGTCATGTTGCTGCACTTGGGATAGATTTGATTGAACGGAAAGAATAGACACACTCCCTCAAAAGCTCAGGTATCAGAAGCCGATCCACGAATGCCAGAGGGGGATTTCTCGGGCCATTGCTTCAGGAATATGCGTACCCACATGGATTGTTTCCTTCGTTTTATGCTTAGTGATTTACCACGCCGCCCACATCCACGCACACCACGACACACAGGTGGAAAATGACTACTATTAGAACCGAAAATGTCAATAGATTTTTACTTAGATGGGGAACAGGGGAGGTTTGGCTTTGTAAAATGAAAATTAGTTTGAGAGAGAGAGAGAGCGAGATGGGGTTTAACGTCCACTCCATTCAAACTAGGTCATTTCGGGACTAACACATTAATCTTTTTTTTTATTTTAATAATTCGCTTGCGCGTAGGGGTCTTTAGCAGGGTGAGGAAACCGGAGGATCCGGAGAAAACCCGCGAGGTTGAACAGGCGATCCTACACCTTGTCACGTCCACCCCCCCCCTCCCCTTTAGTTGAATTGACCTGTCCACATTTCAATGTTTCTTCTGTAATATTATGCATATCCTTGACACCGAATAACATGCGAATTCTAGGCGACCTTGCTTTTAAAATTGTGTGTTATAACAATATAAGTACATGTATATATGTGTTAATTTACGCTCAGCTATCAAACGTATAGTGTTAAATTGTAACTGTCATAGGGAGGTGTATTGACTCGATGACCAGGTAACGAAGCGGCATATCGGTATAGTTTAAAGCCACGCTGATCAGCAGTGAATATTCGCTAGGCAGCTACAATCACTGATAAGGATGACATCCATGCAACTTAATGAGACAAAAAAATTAACTTTTTTCCTCCGACAAATTAAATTCTAAAACATTTTTTTATGCATTAGAAAAATAAATAAAGACGTTTGAAGTATTTGTAGGTAAAAATTATTTCCTATTTAGAGTAAATAGGTATTAAAATTAGTAAAAGGCAGCATTCTGCCCGATTCAGTAACGTCTGATGCACGCGCCATTGAGTCAATGATTGACGTCGCGTGATGTGGCGTCACGTGTTGAAAGTAGTCATCTTTTACAGAGATATTAGAAGACTTTCGTAATCCTCTGTGAAACAGATTGGTTTAAAGCCTGTCCTACAGGTGACACGGGCTTTACCCAGTAATTGCGGATGAAGAGACCATGATTAGAGGGGCGCACGGGTTGCGAATCCTCACGGTGCGAGGGTCGAAGGCGCGCAGTGCACAATGGTGGTCTGGTGTCCTCTCCCGGAAAATTTCGAAAACCAGAAGCCCGGAAATTCCATTTCCAGTGATCTGAGACAAGAATCCGGTTCTAAAGTACACCCGCTGGATCCAGATTGGGATGTGAATGGGGGGGGGGGGTGCGTGCGCCGGGTGCGTCCCCCAAGACCTGTTCTTGAGCTGAATAGTGATGCATTTGTGTAAGACAGTATTACTGCACCAGGATGTCGCGTTTTAAACCCGCCAATAGACTATTAAAGCTGCCTAATACGTAATATACACGGGTTCATTGAAAGTTGATGGTTTGATCTATATACCTATATTTATATAAGCTTGATAAATAAACACATAACAAGTGTATGAATGACACGTTACAACTCTAGGTTAATTATTTTACACGCTCGTGAATTTAAGTATATTAACTGATTTTATCAATGAATTATCAACTATTGTGTGTTTCCTACAATAAGAAATGAATGAATTCAAATTTAATATACTGAAACACTTACTATGCGGTTCTAAAGATATCTATGGGGAGTCTAGATAATTCAGAACAAAGGAAGTTTGAAAATATACACCATTGTTATTGTTATTGTATACACGTGTATATAAAAACACATTTTCAAATATTAATCAAAAATATAATAAAAACACATAATAATACAATTAAAGATGCATCGTGTAAGATTTAGATAAAGAGATGACTGTTCTCGCTATGCTAGTTCCAAAACAAATAATTCAAAATTAATATAGTGAAAATTTCATTCAAATTACTTTATTCTCAGTGACGTTATCACTGTTCGACGTTTTGACAAGATTGTTTAATATCGTAGCAACGTTACTTGTTAATAATCGAGACTCAGTCCCGCTACTCCGTCTTTAAATTAAATAATTAAATGGCGATCCTATTTCAATCCGTTTATATCTCCGACATCCGAGGATCTCGAGAGTTGACTGTAGACTTGTCATGTATATAAATACTTTATACATGTATAATATTTGAAGCCAATATAAAAACCTGGAAAAGGAAGATTTAGCTCTTACATAATACATCTTTAATATACTCATTTATGTCATTTATGAAAAAAAATCACGTTTTTTTTGTTGTTCGTAAATATCGTGTAAAAACATACAACATAGATATAGTAATACAACAAATAAATAAGAATTGTGTATATCTATCGTATTGTAATATGGCACCACTTCTCTCACTTTTCTGATATAAATAATAACAAAGATGGCATTTATTTATACTTTATACGAATAAAATGTTGAATATAAACACATAATGTTCTTACACTTCAACCAAAGTTGTAACCATGAACAGGGTCACCCGCCTAACCTCGTGGATTTTCTATGAGTACTTTGATTTCCTTTAATTTCTATAGACCCGGCATAAGCACCATTTATTCAAGCATAAATGACCTACTTAGTGGGCGTTATGCCCCATTTCATTTCCCCTATTAAAGATGCATTATGCAGGTCTTTCTTTGGGCCTTAAATGTTATATAAATTATTAATTAGACATTTATTAACATGACAAGACCATAATTATCTCTCGATGCCACTGGATGGCTCCGATTTTAAGTAGATTAGAACGGTTTAGCCATTAAATGATTTAATTTAAAAATTGAGAAGCAAGGCTAGGACCCGAATGACCAGTACGGTGGTTACGATCAATCCACACATCTTGTCAAAACTACTGATAAAGTAATTTAAATGAAATTTTCAATATATTCATTTTGTCTTATCTATTTTTGAAATATATAGCGAGAAAGGTCAGCTCTTTATCTAAATTCTACATTAAGGCCCCTTTAAGTTGGATACTTGAATGTGACTTTTGATATTTCACCAAAACAGCACATGTCCTAAAGGTTTACCTTTAGATGTTAGATGGATAACACCTGAAAATGTAGCATTCAAATTGTTTAATAATAAAGATTGATGGCACTGACTTTCTCGTTTGTGGTTTTACAACAGTCTATAGATGAATACCACTATAACATTTTTACACGAGTATATACAAAACAATAATAGCACTATAAACATGGGTAATATATTAAATTTCTGGTCTGCTGGAACACTATTACAAATTTGGCTTCCAACTTTATTCAGACAAAAAACAAAATATAACTTAAAAACAAATATTACTTAGTTGGTCTTCTGAAAAGCTTTTAGTTCCAAATATTTAAGTTTAGAAATTTTAACAAAACATTGCACACAGGAATTAAATGGGGTATCTATTGATGAAGACCTTCAAGAATTAAAAAATAAATTTCTTTGGCCTAATGTATATTAAAATGTCTGTCAACTTGAATACTGCTCTAATGTGAGAATTCTAATTCTCTAATGATTATATGTGGCATTCGTTTAATTCTCCAATAAGGCCAAGCAAAAAATATTTGTTTACGGTTACTAGCACATTTTGCTGAATTACTGAGTAAGATTCTTGAAAATAATCCCAAAGTATTGTAATTTATCTACAGAAAACCAAGCTAAGGTTGAAATCAGAAAAAAAGTTATAGGGTCGACGTTTTCGTCTTTTAAAAAAAAAATAATAGGGAAATGAGAAAAAAAGTTAGAGGGTCGATGCTTTCGTCTTTTAAAAAAATAGGGTGGGTCGGTCACGTAACCGTAAACACAGGTAATTTCTATTTGGCCTAATATATTTTGATGACAATAAAATTCTCGTTTGTAATTGGTAAAAAATCGTAATATACACCGATATAAATACATACAATATATCTATAAACATGGCACCAAATCTCAACATAAATATATATCACTTTAATCTGAGAATTCCAATTCTCCAATAAACCAATAAACCAATAAAGTATGGCACTTGATTTCTCCTTCGGCATAACACGACTTTATAAAATAATACATTACAATATATCTATGGCATCAAATCTGAGAATTCTAATTCTCCGATAAAGTATGGCACTTGATTTCTCCTTCGGCATAACACGACTTTATAAAATAATACATTGCAATATATCTATGGCATCAAATCTGAGAATTCTAATTTTCCAATAAAGTATGGCACATGATTTCTTCTTCGGGATTACACGAGTTTATAATATAATACATTACAATATATCTATGGCATCAAGTCTAAATATGTTTGTACATACAATTTTAACTGAGCAATTTAACTGGAGAATTCTAATTCGCCAATAACAAATATGTATACCGTTAGTTTCCGAGCTTTCAACTCGACACAAACTAGGTCGTTTCGGGAGTAACATATGGTTTGATTTTATTTCAATAATTGGCTAGCGCGTAGGGGTCTTTAGCGTTGTGAGGATACCAGAGGACCCGGAGGAAACCCACGAGGTTGGACAGGCGATCCTACTCCTTGCCTCATGCAAGCGAGGATTCGAAATCACGCCACTTGACTCAATGACAGACCTTGTGATCAAACGCACACGCGTTAACCATCAGGCCATCAAACCCCCTCTCTTTCTCAAATAATGAGTAATATTAACTATACATTTTGGCATATGGATACACGCTTGGGATTCTATACAAATTCTAATTCTACAAATTAATAATATGAAATATATGTACCTGTATATGACACGTTTAGGAATATACAAAATTCTAACATATTTACAGTTGTTAAAGTTGAGAAATATAATTCTCCAAATTAATAATACGTAAATAGGTTTTCGGATTGGCGATTGCAAAAAAGTAACAAAATAGCACTTTAATTTTAATAAAGAATACGTTTGAGATTATAAAAAAATTCTAATAAATATTATAAATATTGTGCACCAATTTCACCAGTTAAAATCACAGAATAATATGTATAATGTTTATGGCACTAACAGTCAAGTTTGTAATTATAAAAATACTAATTTAGCTATATAAGGGATTTATAGGGAACTATAATTCTAATAATTAAAAGTACAGAACACGTATAAATGACTACGGACACTAACAGCCATGTTTGAGATTATACAAAATTCCAATTAAACTAGGGATAACTTTAATTGTAATTCAGGGCCCTGTGGCCTGTTTCTCGAAATGTTAACTAAAGATAAAATCCAAATTTTAGTAGATACATCAATTTTGACTGGCTAAGCACTAAAATCAGTCTAATATTATCCAATCAAATTACTAAAATTTGGATTTTATCTTAGTTAAATTTCGTGAAACAGTCCCCTGCTATGGAACACTTTAAGTTGAAAGCTCTAATTCTAATTCTACTAATTTCTTTACTTAAAAATACATTATGTTAAGAGCTTTCTTTTGTAATATAAATTGTTATTTAGTTATTCATATGGTAAGCTCATAATCAACTCTTCAGGCCACGATAAAATTGTTAACCGAGACTATTATTCCTTTCTGATTATCTGCTCTTGAATTATGATAGCAAGTTCGGTCAGTTCTTTATCTAAATCTTACACAACGCATATTTAAAATAAAACAAATATTGTATATAACACTAGAATTCACGTTTGGGATTATACAAAAATGGGCTCCATAAGATTGGACTGTTCGCCTACTGTCAAAGAAAGATATTACAATAGTATTTTCACTGTATTGGCTGTATTATGGTGGGGGTTTGATGTTTGATACACCTGTTGCAATCCAATCTGATTAAAATATAGATATATATTTCGTTTCGATTTTTCTTTTTTTTTATTTCTTTTTTTTTTTGTGCTACTTTCAATGACCTCCACTACATTAAGATCTGACGGGTTGTAGTGGGATGTCATGTTAGGTGTCATGCGTGCGACTGTTGGCCTTATGACGTCGGTCATACGATCAACCAATCAGCGTCAGTGTTCCATGCTTTGTTTTGTTTTCAATCGCGGCGAATGTTTACTCGCATTTTCGTGCCACGCGATAAGCACTTGGCCAAATATAACAGACCATTTGATTGGCCAATTCCTCACATCACCCATAACGTGGGTTATTTAACAGCTTTTCTAAATCCCGGTGTAGTGAAACCAAGTAGCCTATAAACAACGAAACGTAATAGGACTTGTATTTTAATCAGATTGGTTACAACATGGTGGGCTGATTCTGTAATGCTTCAGTATATTAAAGGGAAGCAAATGTGACAGGTAAATTGTCTTTTGGGTGAGGTGAAGGAATTAAAATTATTTCTGGTGAATCGTTATGAAGAGTCCACCGAGACCTCCTCATCAGCTCAATCAGAAATATCTTAAGTGTCAGTTTCGCGAATTTCTCACCGGGACACGATCTGGCACCAACACCAAATGGTAAATAATTGAAGCGTAGGTCAGGAACATTCAGGCTGTCGTCATTCCATCGTTCTGGCCGGAATTCTTGTGGATGGTCAAACAATGGCGAAGTGTTGTGTGTTTCTCGGACACTGTAAATAACTGTCCAATCTTTAGGCACTTGGTATTTCTGATGGAAAATATATAATTATATTTTAAAATAATAATATAATAATAGGCAACATACTGAAAGACAACTAAAGCATCTCATTATCCGAATTAAAGAACTACATAACATGCCGAAGCTTGGTTTTTTAGAGACTTCATTAGTGGGCGTATTTGACCATGAGGGCCTTCTAAATACTTGATTATAAAAAGGCATTTCATATTAATTGGTAGTTTCGATTAGGTCAGTCATTGACAGCTGTATGAATTCCTACTTTTTATAAAGGACGTCCAATCGCAGGACCATGGATGTCAGGGGTGTGCTAGTTTTGAAGACGCGCATAGAGTTTAGATAGTAATTCTGAAGATTAAACCCAAAACTATGGGTTTGAAAATGTCGAATATTAACAGTTCTACAATGGTAGAAATAAGTCTAATGGAAAATCATTAGAAACTAATGTAAAACATCGATTAACCCATCTGAATATTTTTGGGGATATGTATACTGTTGAACAGAAGTTAGTAAACGATTACTAACTACATGGCTAATGTCATCATGACTTAAAGGAGCTAAATCGCTAATAATTTGGGATCTAGAAATTGACACAAATGGGTCGCAACGCATATAAAAATGTAATATAAATGTATATAAATTGATTTACATTCAATCGTTCCTGTTTTTACTCTAAATTTCAAATTAGTTATGTTCGGCGAAATAAATGAGAAGTCTCAATCGAATGGCAATCTGTAGCGTCTGGTTACTTCAGTCTACACTAAGCTACTTTAATTTCTTGGCCATGTCCGTCTTGTATAGATCCTATTAGTATTATAATATCAGTAGAAAGTCATTGAAAGAAAACGTAAACTAATAGCAGTATAACATTTGCCGTCAGTTCCAATTTTTCTATTTCAGAATAATATTTTAGAGAAAACTCTCGTGGTATTTTAGAGAACCATCTCGTGTAATGTTAGAGAACAAGAAGTTCAATTATTTTTGCGAAAATCAGCAATTTGCAATTCAGTATTCATTAACGCCTATTTCTCAACATGGGGCTAATTATGATTAAAACTCTTTATTATAATCCTATATAAATTTAAATTATATATAAAGTTACGAGACTTACCCCTACTTCAAATGTTTTCAATGCTTTACGGAATCCTCCGCCAACAGGTGGTTTGTGTCTTAACACTTCTTTTATAATGTTGTCAATATACGTCATCTGGTTGATCTGGTCATAGGTCAAATCAGCAGAAGTATCCATGACGTCATTTTCTATCAAACTCTCGATAGCCTTTTCTCGTATTTTCTCATTTTGACCCAGATGTAGTAGTATTGAGCAGCATGCACTGGATGTTGTATGATGCCCGCCAAACATCAGTTCTATTAACAGATCAATGATGTCATCTTCCGGCATCAACGCCGTCTCCGGTAAATTCTTCAACATATCTAAAACACACGTTTCCTCACCGGAAATTCTATCAACGGACTGAGCTAGTAATTTTTTAATACCCGCTATTAACTTGACTCTTGCTTTTGTTGCCTGTAAAAAGAAGAGCATATATTATTATGTCATGTGTTATGCTATGAATGCACAAGGAGCCACGGTGGCTAAGTGAGTAAGACGATGGCTCTCGCTAGCCTGGAGGTCACGGGTTCGCTCCCGCTGTTAACCGAAAAAGTTCATTGGGATTTTCCTGTGCGGTTTCCCCTTGTCAGTGGTGCAGTAAGGGGGGCCCGTGTACACTTGGCGTGCACGTAAAAGATCCCTTGGCATTTGGAATTCAGTATAAGAATAGACCGTAGTGCTGGTGTCCGGGGCGAAATTTTCCTCATTGGACACTGTATGCCGTAAGCAGTCGGAGCAGAACAGTAGGACGTTAAACCCCACGTCTTGTTTTTTCATAGTCCGCCAACGGATGACACAACATAATACAGTAAGTTCTCCTTATAATTAGGGAGCCGAATAGATGCTTTTTACTTTTAAAGTACCATACACATGGGCCGAAACGAGCCAAACCAATCTGTACAAAACACAGATCCTATTTTGTTTCATAGTTCAAAATTTCGTTTTATTTGTTTGCACTTGTAATGGAGCCCATCGAAAGTAAAACGAAAACGAAACGAAATATCTATAGATCTGTATTTTTATTAGATTGGAGTCAAACCCCAATATCGTCCCTAGGCGGGTTACTAAACGATACCAGAAAAACAAAATATGTTACCTTTTGAAATGCTAAACCAGGGCATTTTACAGGTAAACAGAACAAATTATCTATAAGAATTTTAAAATCCGTCACCATATCTTTACACTGTCCTTCATCTATGTCGATGCCGAAAATAGTCTTGGCTGCCATTTTATACGTCATATCACGACATTTTAAATAACCCTGCAATAAATAAATATACATTGTACTAGCAGGATACCCGGCTTCGCTCGGGGGTCATAACCCCGAAACCGGAAGTGGTAGACTAACGCCACCTGGCCTATGTTACTCCCCGGTCCGAGCTACCCCTATACCCCAAATTTCAGACTCGGGGCAGACCTAGTGTAGCCGCCAACCCCGAACAGACAGACAGACAGACAAACGACAATCACAAATATTAGTATAGAAGATGGTATAATAAATCATAGGGTATTTTTCATACATATATTGTATGGTATACAATAAATCATACATATCTTGTATGGTATACAATAAATCATACATATCTTGTATGGTATACAATAAATCATACATATCTTGTATGGTATACAATAAATCATACATATCTTGTATGGTATAATAAATAATAAATATCTTGTATGGTACAATAAATAATAAACATCTTGTATGGTACAATAAATAATAACATATTGTATGGTACAATAAATAATAACATATTGTATGGAACAATAAATAATAACATATTGTATGGTACAATACATAATAAACATCTTGTATGGTACAATAAATCATACATATCTTGTATGGTACAATAAATAATAAACATCTTGTATAATAAATAATAAACATCTTGTATGGTACAATAAATAATAAATATCTTGTAAGGTCTTGTATGGTACAATAAATAATAAATATCTTGTATGGTACAATAAATCATACATATCTTGTATGGTATAATAAATCATACATATCTTGGGGGGGTGGATGGCCGAATGGTTAGGCACGTGCGTGCTGTATCATAAAGCCTGTCATTGAGTCAACTGGCGTGGTTTCGAATCCCCGGTTGTATGTGACAAGGAGTAGGGTCGCCTGTCCAACCTCGTGAGTTTTCTCCGGGTCCTCCGGTTTCCTCCCACTGCTAAAGACCCCTATGCGCAAGCGAATTATTGAAATAAAATTAAACCATATGTTAGTCCCGAAATGACCTAGTTTGTGTCGAGTGGACGTTAAACCCCATTTCTCTCTCTCTCTCTCTCTCTCTCTCTCTCTCTCTCTTGTATGGTCTTGTATGGTACAATAAATAATAAACATCGTGTATGATACAATAAACATAAACATCTTGTATAATACAATAATGATATTAAAACCGTGCAATAATATACATCCAACATGTATGAAAGCGGTCATGCACCATGAAATGATTTCCCTACGTAGGTTCTCTTTATTAGTTCCGTCTCCATTATCCCGTTATTGAAGAAAGGGTTTAACGTCCACCCGACACAAACTAAGTCATTTCGCCACTAACATATAGTTCAATTAGTCCAATTCTATTTCAATAATTCACTTGCGTGTAGGGATCTTTAGCAGTGGGTTGTACATTATTGAAGTTTAATCAAAATAATGAAATATAAACATACCAGCACGTCTTTCTGTTGGCACCAGGAATTTATACACTTGACGATGACTTTCTGCAATTCTGGAACTAAGTATGTTAAATTCTCTGATCCCATGGCTTTCAATAAAACCATTTTCTTTTGTCTATTGCAATAAAAATGGAATTGTTATACTCTTGTAAATTGGTCGGCCATAAATGTTATTCTGTAGAAAATACAATAAAACAAGTGGCTTGGGGTGTGGATGGTGGTGGGGGTGGATATGTAACTCCTCGGTGGTATATTTGAATTATTCTGACTAGGTGTCGTTATAGAATGGGCTAGGTCATACGGAAAAGCCAGAATAATTATTATTACTATATCTGTCTAAGAGAGATAAGAAAGAGAGGGAGAGAAATGGGGTTTAACGTCCATTCGAGTAGGTCATTTCAGGAGTAACATATGGTTCAATTTTATTTCAATAATCTGCTTGCGCGTAGGGGTCTTTAGTAGTGGAAGGAAACCGGAGGATCTGGAGAAAACCCACGAGGGTTGGACAGGCGACCTTACTCCTTGTCACGTACAACCGGGTAATCGAAACTAAGAGAAATAAAGATGGCGGTGTAATATCAAAGGAAAACCAATGTAGATTTAATTTATTGACCATAAAGTAAGTTCGAATTGATCAATTACAATAATTATGGGGCCACATTTCTTTCAACCAAAGTAATTTCTTTGAACCGAAAGTAATTTCTTTCAACCAAAAGTAATTTCTTTTAACCAAAAGTAATTCTCTGTCATTGAGTCGACTGGCGTGGTTTCGAATCCCCGGTTGTACGTGACAAGGAGTAGGGTCGCCTGTCCAACCTCGTGGGTTTACTCCGGGACCTCCGGTTTCCTCCCACTGCTAACGACCCCTACGCGCAAACGAATTATTGAAATAAAATTAAACCATATGTTAGTCCCGAAATGACCTAGTTTTTGTCGAGTGGACGTTAAACCCCATTTCTCTCTCTCTCTTATGATACAGCACGCACGTGCTAACCATTCGGCCATCCAACCCCCCTTGAAGATGAAGTAGTTGCTCTGTAGTTGTCTGGACAGCTATAGGGAGGAGATGGGTTGGCTGATCAACTGGGAAGAAGGATTTATAGAGGCAAAAACGATGCCCCAACGATACTTAGAAAGTATCGTGGGGTTTTAAAAGAATAGTATATCACAATTAGGCCAAGAAAAAATAAATACCCATGTTTACGGTACACCAAAAATAGGGTACGTCGGTCGGAAAATCTTCTTTTTTTTGTTATATTTATATTATCTTTTATCTAGTATTTCTAGCTTAATTTCTGAAATTAATTCCGAGATTTCAATGTTCGAATGTGTCTAGCGAACACTACACCAAGATCGGGTTACATTGCATGGGGAATGAGAAATAACGTTTATGGTCGGCGTTTTCGGCTACCGTAAACATGGGTATTTGTTATGTTGGCCTTATGGGGGAATTACACGGGCCACTGATCAACAGCGGGTTCTTACTTTAAACTTTCACCGGTTTGAGATGACAGGGAACCCTTTCCAAGAAGGGACCGAACACTTGCTGGCCACATACCCTGTACAATATGGTTTTCTCCTGTTAAAACTTTCTTAATGTTGTCTGCTCCAACCAATCTGATGGTTGGTCTTCCCATAATATGAGTTTTATATATTTTCCCAAAATTGGCTAATTTTTCTGTGTAGAATGCACATCCCTGCAATACAAGAAATATACCCTATTCAATGTCATATTGAATCTTCGAAATGACATTTTGAGAATGGTACGTGCAGTTTAAGTCAATAATCTTACGTACTTTACTTCCTGGACGGCACCGACGATAACGTTAGGTCAGAGTCCAGCTTTTTGTGTATCTTTAACTTACACTACAGCTTCAGAAGGCTATAGACCCAGTTTGTCAGTTTCTAATGAAATAAAAAGAGGACCATGCATGTTGGTGCATGCATTAAGTAGCCTTTGCCATTTTCTCAGATAATGAATTAACTCTTTGGCTTCTAATCTTAAGCTACAAGATCCTAATGAAACCAAGAATAATGGCATTCGGTAGCCTCTTTTGTATCAATTTTCACTGACTTGATAGGTCTGGTCATCTCTAACCCCAAATTCATTATCAACAAATACAATTCCCGGCTTTTGATTACGGTCATCAGATCTTTTTCGCCAGATCAAATAGCAGGACTGAAGCAGGACATTCTTAGTACAGTAAGTTATTGTGTGGTAGTGCTTTGTAGAAAAATAGGTTGCCAGACAACGAAACATAAGCCCACAGCAGCTAAGATGTCCGTGCCGTCTATAGGCTTGTCAGATTTATTGTTTTGTAGGTAATTGGGGCATTTAAAGGCACTAAAAACTGATCAAGAGTAACAAACCATTGAGTAATTATCAGAAATATTAAAAAATTGATTGGCTTCTAGTTCTTTAAGAACATGTACCGGGAATGATGATACATGTAAACGTAAATGTTCTAGTTATCAGAAATCGTTGACAAATAATAGATGTCATCACATAAACACTGTGTATTAATTTCAAATCAATCGGAATGTAAGTTGTACCGCTAGAGGGTTCAAAGGTGATCAAGGGTAATAACTCGGAAGTAATTATAGACTTCTTATGAACATAAACACAGTGTGTAAAAAATAAAGCCACTTAATTTTTTTTTTATGATCTTGATTATCTACAAGATTGTTATCAAGTGTCATACAGGAAGATAACGTTAGCCACTAGAGCGTTTACAAGATTTTTTCAAAGTGATCAGGGGTCATAACTCGGTAGGTATTAATAATCGGAAATCGCTGAAAAGTTATTATATCTTACCTTCAAGGCAAAATCAATTGTTTCGCCAACAATCGGATATCCCATAGTTCCTGGTGGTAATGGTTTACTGGAGGAAACGTCTGCTTGCATTTCATAATAAGTGCGCCAAACATAGACAACAGCCGCCAGGAGGAGATAACCGAGAGCTAATATTGACGCGACATGTGCTGTATATTGAATGTAATCATTCTCGAATTCTACTTGACGTCTGCTTATGTCATTGAATTGTCTGAAATAATGACCAAAAAATAAAAAACATATATAATCTGTTCGTCACTTGAAGGGTTTTGAATCTGTAAAATGGTTCTAAAGCAATTCGTATTTATAAAGATATAATGAACTGAAAGTTCCCAGAGCGTTTAGTACTCCTTGCAAACGACATAAACAATCCAGCGCCATTTATTAGCGTTAGTCAAAATCTTTTAATGGACCTCCTGTTAAGTATTGTTTAATGGTCGAGAGCGAGACATTAAGTAATATATTGAAAAGGCCCGAGTGTTGTTTTAATATATTACGCAATGTCTTAAGCTCTCGAGACCATTAAACAACTTAAAATACAGACACTCCGCACGTGCTTTTACAGTGAAATACGTCACGCGAGTTTAATATTTCACTAGTATAAATAATCTACGACTGGCAAGTTGCCCGTACGATTATTTGAAATAATGGTACACTGACATCAATGGGTGACGTCACATCTGTGTTTTAATCCGATTTAATCCAAGTCAGGGGTGTAATATTTTGTTTTGTGTTCTCCATTAAATGTTAAATACTGAATTCAAATACATCTTAGAATGGATTAATACATGAAAGGGTATATATTGTCTGACACCATGCAATTGACGATGAGCTGCTTTAACTCTCCAGTTAAAAGTTGAAATCATTTCTGTAAATTAGTAGAAAATTCTTTCGTTCGGTTGGGACAAAAGCCGAGGTCGTAAACATGTATAACACACTGCTGGCATGACATATGCCTGTCTTCATAACAGCACTTGATGCAAAAATGCAGGACTATAAACCACATTTAATTTCATTTTATGTATCTCCATGCCCTGTGAGTTGTTAATGTTCTAAGGGAATATAGTTAAAATCAAGAGGTCTCGGATTCGCTCCCGGTATTGGCCGTGGTGCAGGACGGAGGGTCTGACAAGGTATCTGGTCGTTCGGATGGTACGAAAAACCGAGGTCCCGTGTACACATTGGCGTGAGCGTGAAAGATCCCTTGACAGTTGGAATTCGATATAAGAGTAGGCCGTAGTGCCGCTGTCCGGACAAAATTTCCCTCACAGCACACTGTATGGCGTATGCCCGTCTTCATTAGCCCAGTTTGGAGCAGAACAGTAGGATGTTAAAACCTCAATATAGTTCATGAGTATTAGTATGATATAAACAAAAGTATCTACAACATAAATTTCCTAGCTTGTAAATATATAAGAGTAGGCCGTAGTGCCGCTATTCGGGCAAAATTTCCCTCATAGCACACTGTATGCTCCAGTCGGAGCAGAACAGTGGGACATTAAACCCAGTTCATTTCATTTGGAAACAAGGGTACATACACGTGCGGACGGCTGTCCTTGATATATGGATGTAAATATCGGTCAATAAGGTGAAGATGACCTAGTTATATAGAGGTTGGTAGGTCAGGTGACTATAACATTGTCTACTAGGGTCATAAGTTGAAGTAAAAATAGACTATTCAAGAGACTACTAAATATAACAGTCTACGTTCCGTATAGTATAATTCTATTATTAATTTTAACTGAAAGGGTTCATCTACAGTTCACGTACGGTAATTAAAAATATTTACGAAATGTTCCTATTATGATGTCAAATTTTATATGTTAGAACGATGGTTTACATTTTCTTTCATAATAATACACAAAATAATAGATGCCTGACATTACACATATCTTAGGAATTTCATTAAAGAGGCGTCATCACTCTCACAAAAAATGCGATATCCTAATCAAAATAAATTTAAACCGAATTACTCATGGCTCGTAAACTAAATTTTCTGTTGATGAATGGGAAGCGAAATGGTCGATGAACAACAAATATGTGTATTTCATTATAGTTTTAGAATTGCAACTTGTAATTTATGGTATGCTGATTATATAGTAATTATTAGCAGTTCTTGAAAACTGGCCATAAAATTGTAATTTGTAATTCATGGTGTGCTGACTACAGGCTCTATAGACATAATAATATAATGTTTAAGATTTATTGAAAATGACCAGAAAATTGTGATTAATGGTGCGCCGACTTTTTCGTAGTTTTATTAAGAGTCCTTGAAAATCGACTGCAGTCTTAAAGATACATTCCCACAAAAGTATTTATCGGGTTATTTCCAATAAAACTATGACAATTTTGGCGTTTTTGGAAGATACTGGAAAAATACTGGATTCCTTAAAAAATACCCCTGGAGGCGCACAGGACATAATAACACTAATTGACAGTCCGATGATTAAGGACTGTCTGTTCGAGTGAGGTCAAAGGTTTGCATGCGTGGATTGTCTGACCTCTTTGCGTTAGGGAGCGCTTGGTGTATATGTTGAAAAACCTGATGGTGAGCGGGCATGGAAAAAGTTTCTGTGAAAAAAAAAGCAGAAAAAGACGTGAGCAGGCAGGGGATAATCTGAGAATTTACTTAAGCTTCGATATTTATGGTAAATCGACAGTGATTAATGACAACATCGTATTTTATATGCAATGGATTCTCGACAACTAGTCACGTTACACAAACATGACTTCTTTATATAGATTTTTATAGCTTGGTCTACTTCCTCACGAATTCAATGTTTTGATAGGATTTGAAACAAATTTTTGATAAATTAATTATGTTTTTATTCCAGATATATCATCAAATCACCGAGTTTGTATATGAGAGAGAGAGAGAGAGAGAGAGAGAGAGAGAGGGGGGTTAACGTCCACTCGAAAAAAACTAGGTCATTTCGGGACTAACACACGGTTCATTTTTATTTCAATAATTCGCTTGCGCGTAGGGGTTTTTAGCAGTGGGGGGAAACCGGAGGACCCGGAGAAAAACCACGAGGTTGGACAGGCGACCCTACTCCTTGTCACGTACAACCGGGGAATTGAAACCCCGTCACTTAACTCAATGACAGACCGTACGATACAGCGCGCGCGTGTACTAACCATTCGACCATCCAACCCCCCAGTTTGTATATATGAATGTATCTTAAATGTTTGCTCATTTAATGCCCGTCTTCATTAGCCCAGTTCGGAGCAGAACAGTAGGACGTTAAACCCCATTTCATTTCATTTGCTCATTTAATGAATCATCAATATAATACTATACAGGTCACGATTTATTTTGTACTAGCGGATGACCTTGGCGCTGCTCGGGTTAAAAGTAGTATAACTCCGAAACCGGAAACGGTAATCCAACACCACCAGGCCTAGATTACTACCCGGTCCGATCTACCCCTGTACACAAAAATTTCAGCCTCGGAACAGCCCTAGTGTAGCCGCTAACCCTGAACAGACAGCCAAACATATGACAGTCCTAAATATTAGCATAGATATATTGCATTATTGTCACCGGCGTGTTTTCAATTCAATTAATTTTTATACAATACTATGTGCTTTTAGAAAAGTCACCGTAAGTTTGGGTTTGCTACAGAAACTTTTTTAGGTATCCCTATTATTTTGTTAATATTATCAATAGTGGCATATCCAAAGCACTGAAAAATCCATTGTAATACGTTTGGTAAATAAGCCCATTTAAAGATAGGTTCCCAGAAAAGTATTTATCGGGTGGTTATTTTCAATAAAAGTATGTCAATTTTGGTATATATGGAAAGTAGAAATATCCAATCTTATTAGAAAAATACTGGACGTCCCAAAACACTCATGGAGCGCATACAGGACAAAATTGTAAGGGTTTCCCTAATCGACAACCCGACGATTAGGAGTGTCTGCATGCGTGACGTCAAAGGTCGCACGCTGAGATTGAGCGCTTGATGTAAATTTTATGAAGAGTTAGACGCACAACAGTTTCTGAGTTAAAAACCACGAAAAAAGAACTTAGGCAGTGGATAATCCGAGAATTTAATTAGGCTTCGATATTTGTAATAAATAGTTAGCGATTAAAGACAACATCGTCTTGTGTATGCAATGAATTCTTCTCCGACTTCGCCCTACTGAAAGAGGTAAGTCACGTGACAAAAACATGACCTCGTTTGATCGATTTTTTTATAGTAAGGGCATTCCTTAGCAATTTCAATATTTTGAGAAGGATATGAAGCAAAATTATGATAAATTAATTAGTTTGAATATGTTTTTAGTCCAAATATATCATCAAATCAGAAGAAAGAAAAAATAATATGAATTATTTTCCAAACTTTTTGTAATCCCAAACCCTTAAAAGTTATTTAGGAGTAATGCTCCGCCATGACTCTGCTTGTTAGATTCGACCTATATTGTACATATCATATATATCATGTTCTTTTTAAATCCAACGTTGACTTTTACGGTGTTATTATGCAGGTTTGAAAAGGCTCGCTCAATCAAGTCAACTCTCTTTCATTGTGTAGACTTAGACATCCAGTAAAAATAAATGATACGAATTCCAAATACCGTCGGCGAGAGTGACAACCTATTAAAGATACACTATGGGAGATTAGATAAAGAGCTGGTAGTTCTCACATAACAGTTAAAAACTAGATAATGTAAAGGGAATTTGCTGAAAATTTCAGTCAAATTGATCCACCCTGAACCGAGTATTTAGCGATTGAATTTTGGGTCTAGCCTCGATCATTATTACTAAAGTCGGTACGATAAAAAACATAGTCTCGATTATCCATTTTTTTTTATTTAATCAGAAGCCGCGGACAGGTTCTAATCCAGTAAATATCGCAGGCTAGCGATGCCATCGACAGTTGATTATGGTCTTTATAACTAGTTAATTAATGTCTAAATCATAATTTATATAACATTTCAGGCTTAAAGAAAGACCTGCAATTGTCAGATTTAGCTCTTGCATGATGCATGTTTAATTAATAAGTAACAGATATAGAAATAATTATGTTTTGACTTTTTTTTAGAATTTCCGCTTTAAAGTAAACGATAATTGGTCGGTTGGTCAAGAAGCTCATAAAATGAATGTATATATAGTGTAGGATATATTTTCTTTGTTTATTACAAATGGCGCCCCACACCACAAAATATACGACTGATTATAAAATGTTAATTGTGTCTTAAATATTGGCTATTAGGGTCAAATAATATGTTCACGGAATACTGATTTAAATGGACCGATATTGAATTCTTATTCGTGTTTTTAATTAAAAAAATTATGGTAAATATAGAGTTAGAGGTTTAGCGCCTTTAAACCTCCCAATCTTAATTCCATCAAAACGTTTAGCTATCAATATGAATCGTGCCTATATTACTGCAGCTTGCATATATTACGTATTATTAACACTTGTCTGTAATCTACGTGACAGATTGTTATCAAGACCACGGGGACGTACATTGATCGATAAATAACCCTGGGTTGTTTGTTCGTCTGGGGTTAAACTGACATATTCCAACATTTGTGTCATATTATAAACTTATTGCATCAAATCGGTGTCGGTCTCTGGTTTCAAAGTCTGATGTTAATTGTCCAAACAGGAGTTTACTGAAAGCATATGCAAATGAAGTGGGATTTAACGACCTACTGTAACCAGCGTGCTAATGAAGACGGGCATACGCTGCTGTGTAATAGGAGGGAAAGTTTGCTCAGTCACGGATTGGCCTTGCTTTCTCGTCAATTTATTGCCATGCGTTCCGGCCTGCTTCGTTGACAAGGGGTAACCAAGTTGACATACCATAGACAGTCTGATTATTGAATCATTAACATACTCGATGAGTCACCGTGGCTCCCATCCTGGGAAGAGAAGGTTACATAAAAATTGCAGCCAATCTATTCCATCAGTGCTATGCAAAGTTTTGGCAATGCCCGGGCCAATTCCTTGATAGTCTGTGAACGAGACTCAAATATAGGTCTTAGTACTAAGAAATGTTCGAAAGAAAGACATTTTAAACAAGTCAAAACAAATAAAATAAACTTTAAAATCAAATTGAATATAAATCAGCCCCATTGATTAAGTTCGGAGGCCAAATTGGATGCCTCCCTCCCCCAGAATGTAGGCCTATGCCGCATCTGTCCACATACAAACTTTATGACAAGTAACTATAAGGAGATTGCGAAACTTCATTAAAATAAAGATTTTTTTAAAACCTCGAAGGATAATCAAGGAGAAAGTTTACTCATTTCACTTTTCTTATCCGGGTATAGCTACCCTGCATCAAAATAATATATACCAAAATACTTGTTGTTTATAAATATATTAAAGTCTTACCTATCCATCAATTGTGTTAAATTCACGTAATTTGAGTTAGATTGATACAACATTGTTTCACCGGTATATAAAATATATGTACACTACACTATGAATATAATCTAGATTTTACATTTCGCTTTATATATACACGTAAAAGTTTTCTGCTTCAATACCCATATTCAATATTAGAGGCTATTAGACAATTCTTGTGCAACATGATCCAATGAGAAGCGAGAATATAAGGTCACCACCTCGTCTGACCTATAATAGTACAGATATAAAGTATACAATGTACTAGTGAGACGAACTAAGGTAGATACATGTATATTGTACCTATTTCTAGGTCAATATGTGACCTGGTGTTATTAAATGATTTGATTGGGATATTTTATTGTATGATATTAACATTGAATTTTCAGTCCGATTATAACCAATGAACGAATGAATGAAATGGTTTTTAACGTCCTACTGTTCAATAGGAGGTTGTGTGTGTGTGGGGGGGGGGAGAATCCCGATGAAGTTTCTCGGCCAACGCAGGGATCGAAAACGGGACCCCCGGGTTAGCGATCCAATGTCTTACTCACTGAGCCGCCGTGGCTCCCCCAATTATAACCAATCATTAATATATTAAGCGATTTTCCTGTGCGGTACTGCGGTTTCCCCTTGAAAGTGTTGCAGGACGGAGGGTGTGGCAATGGACAACGTTTAGTCCTACTGGTGGTACGGAACATCAAGGTCCCGTGTACACATTGGCGTGCACGTAAAATAACCCTTGACATTTGGAATTCGAAATAAGAGTAGGCCGTGGCGTCGCTATCAGGGCAATAATTTCCCTCTTAGCACATTGCATGGCGTCTACACGTCTTCATTATCCCAGTGGGTGCAGAAAAGTGGGACGTTAAACCCCATTTCACTTCATTTCAAGCGGTATAACTGTCCATTGTCTTTCAATTTCATATACAGATGGAAGACAAATACAAAATCCAGTTTTATTCAAATTGTTCAAGTTGTTTCTACTCTATTTATATTATCTCGTCTGACATAATACGAACTTTCTGGTATATAATGCCTGGAACAGTGCGCCCTTTAGAAAGCTGGGTTGCCAGGCAAAGAAACTTACGACCACATCTACTAGGGTATCTGTGCAGTCTTTAAACGTGTTAAGTTGCTATATTTTACAGGTAATTGGATTATGTAAAAGAAAGTGATGAAGGGCAACAACACCTGCATCGAGCTGAAAAGTAATTTGATTCGGCCTTAATACCTTTTGATTTAATGTAAGCGTCTCAAGGATGTTAAATTCAACTTTTACCGTTGACAGTCGCTGCGTCACGTGTTTTCTCAACTAAATCTATATTTAAAGAATACATTCTACACACAGAGACCTGTTTACTTCAAAAATAGATATTTGCCCTGAATGGCCGCCATAGCGAAACATTGGTATACTGTTTGTAATGCGGTTCTACTCCGTTTCACATCCGCGATACACACGAAGACTAAATGAATCTTTTCAATTTTATTAAATAGAAGCGGAATAAATAAACTTAGTGTCTTCGACAAAAATCGTCGATTTAGGAAATAAAATGTCTGTTCGTAAGCGGAGCTGATTGTAGACATACAGCGTAAGTTTAGTATGAACCGAGTATAAACTTTTAAAAAGAGACATTTTAAAATACATTTATACACTGCTGATGCTATTTATGAATGTGACACACTTTTGTTTTTAATCTTGTATTTCATTTAGTATATCTGAAAAAGATCACCATAATATTATGTTGCTACAAAAGAAATGAAATGAAATGGGGTTTAACGTCTTACTGTTTTGCTCCGAACTGGGCTAATGAAGACGGGCATACAGTGTGCTATGAAGGAAATGTTGCGCGGGCAGCCGCGCTATGGACTACTTTTATATCGAATTCCAACTGCCAAGGGATCTTTTGCGTGCATGCCAATGTATACACGGGGACTCCGTTCTGGTCACTGACAAGGAGAAACCACGTAGGATAATTTCGGATGAACTAGCGAGCCAGCGTCTTACCCACTTAGCCACCGTGGCTTCTGCTGAAAAAAGAAGGAAGTTAAACACAAGTTCATTTAAGTCATATTTATCTTCGTTGGCAACTAAAATAGACAGCGTTTGTATATATTTAACAAGTGCAAGACCCAAATAACAGCATACACATTTGACTTATTATTCTGTATGTTTGTAAATATACAGTAATCGATTACACAGCGAAACTCGCTAACGTTCATATTACCTGAACTCTGTATGAACCCTCCCGGATAAAAGAAATATAAGAATAGTGCTAGATACGTAACATAGACTGATTATGATCTATTGAATATAGTTATCTATTATTACTTCAACTTATGACCCTAGTAGACAATGTTATAGTCACCTGACATACCGACCTCTATATAACTAGGTCATCTTCACCTTATTGACCGATATTTACATCCATATCAAGGACAGCCGTCCGCACGTGTATGCACCCTTGTTTCCAAATGAAATGAACTGGGTTTAATGTCCTACTGTTCTGCTCCAACTGGGCTAATGAAGACGGACATACGCCATACAATGTGCTATGAGGGACATGTTGCCCTGACAGCGGTGCTCTTATTTCGAGCCTGTCCAACCTCGTGGGTTTTCTCCGGGTCCTCCGGATTCCTCCCACTGCTAAAGACCCCTACGCGCAAGCGAATTATTGAAATAAAATTAAATAATATCTCGATCCCTATGTTACGGAAAATTTAATGCAGACGTCAGTAATAATATTATAAAACTTACAATCTAAGCTTGATCGAGATAATAAAATAATCGCCATCATTACTAGACTATATCACACAGACATTTTTGTTAACGGGAATTGCGCGTATTCAAATGTGACCTGGAAGGCAATTCCCGTTAACAAAAATGTCTGTATGCGCGTATTCAAATGTGACCTGGAAGGCAGAGACTACAACAACTTCCTAGGTGAAAAGTAGAAAAGTCGACAGTACGACAGATCATAGGTCGCTAATAGCGCAGTGTGTTAATTTCCTAATTTCTACTTTTCGAGTTACATTTTGGCTTGTATAGCGTGTTGGCGCCTTCTTACTGACATCAATAAATACAAAAATATGACTAAGTCGAAAGTCGACAAGACGGTATACAAGCCAAAATGCAAGTCGAAAAGTAGAAATTAAGAAAAAAAACGGGGGCGCTATTATCGCGGTGTGTTATTTCTTAATTTCCTATTTTCGAGTTGATTTTGGCTTGTATACCGTCTTGTCGCCTCACATTTTGTCGTAACTTCTACTTTTCGACTTTCGTGTTCTGAAGAGGCGAAAAGTAGAAATTATGAATGGTAGTTATAGGCTTCCATACACTATAGCCTATAGCAATTTCAGAAATATGTTAGTTGTTTTGAAAATTACATATTCAAATATTAGGTCACATTAAATAATAACATGTAAAGTTCGAAAGTTTAAAGTTAACGTTTGACCTGGTATATAATACACCGAATCAACCACATACAGAACCGGATTAAAAGAAGGTGTGTTTGTGGGGGTGGGGGGGGCTGACTTGGCTGCAGTCAGAGGGACTCATTATTTTTATTTAAGGGGTCCCGAATCAAATCTAAAAAAAAAAAATTATTTTGTTTTGTATGTTTGTGCTAAATAAACCACAATGACCTACAAATTGCATTTGTGTGAGTGTCGCGGAGAATGACTGGAGTATGCCCTGGCTACATAACATGTTTCTGTACCGTAGTCGGTTGGTTAACTTGAGTTCGTCTCAAACAATAGTATTATACTCGATTCAACGTTCCAAAATACACACGCAGCCCCTGCCAAAATGAACCACATTATCTCTCAAGATTACACTTACAGTGGACTATGTATGTGACATTCGACATCTGAATACTACGACATTCTGTGAAATCCGACCTTTCATAAGTGACTTTAATACTCCCAAGCCGAGTGCCTTACACCCCCCCCCCCCTCCCCCATTACTTTTTTCAAAATGAAGTATTTACACTGACCTAAATAATATGGTAAGCTTGTTTATAGCGTCTTTTAAATCGGTTTCTTGCGATGTACTCATTGTCTGTGAACATGGTGTGAAGGAGGCTGTCAGAAGCGCAAAAGTCGTAGATATTCGCTACGCATGCGGCATGAATGTCCTTGAAATGTATTGTCGGCCAACATGTCTTCCACTACACAGCCATCCGCCATCTAGTTTGGAAAAATTGACAGACCACGTCACAACGCGAATGCAGGGCGTTGATTCGCCTAGTAAAACGACGTCAGCCCTTTGCAACGAGTTACCAGCCTCAACAGGTACCCAATCGCCTTATTGCCACCAGAACGTTGCGAGCACAGAATTAGAAGCCTCGAACATGATTTTAAAAAGCCAATCTGATTAAAATACAGATCAATATTTCGTTTCGTTTTAATTTATACTTTCGATGGCCTACACTACATGAAGATCTGACCGGTTGTAGTGGAAGGTCGCGTCAGGGTCATATGAACGGTTTTTTACCTTAAGGCGTCAGACATTTGATTAAACAATCAGCGTTAATGTTTCTAGTGGGTTACCCACATTCCCGTGAACCTCGCGCCAAAAACTCGCCATAACAGACCCTTCGATTGGTTAATTCCTCACATCACCCAGAACGCGTATTATATTATAACACTTCCAGATCCTAGTGTAGTAAAGACAATTGTTCTTTTCGTTGAATAAGCAGATTGTTTTCCCTCTAGTAGATTGGGTGGAGTTTAACCATGCAATAACTAGACTTGTTTAATGTTATTGCACACTTTTGCTGGTTTACACTAGTTTTAGTAGAAATCATATAGTGGGGTGGGTTTTCTGTGCAATAACAACCAAGCATGTTGAGCAGGGGTCATTTATAGCACGCTTCATTCGATAACAGGTTTGACACCTCGGCCTACGGCCTCTGGTTAAACCTGTTAACTCATGAAAGCCGTGCTATCTGTGTTTTAACCAGATTGTAAAAAGATAAGACGTAAAATCCTTTGATAGGACGAAAGCAGGTATGGGCGAACTTGTGTGTGGAAGCACCGAAACCCGGTTTATACACTCCACATGCGCCTGTAACGGGGAAGATATTTCAAAAATAACATCAAGCTATGACTAAGTATATGTTCGTAAGCGAGATTATCAAATAACTGGTCTAATTCCAATTTCTGGGGCAAATAACTCGTCTGTAGCCGATTCTTTTTCAGTAGTAGGGTGACCCACCATAAATAAATATCTCCATATATCTCGACAATTTCGCCACAATATTTATATATATGCCAAGCCTCAAATCAGTTTCACACAATTATAGTCACTAAATAAACGATCATGTTGTACTTAATAAGCTATGACCATTAATCATCTATAAATAATAGACTGAAAACTGGTTCCATGTGAAAACTGGTTCCATGTGTCGTCCATAACATCCAGACACTCTTGAGTAAAAGATAGGTTACGTGCCCTTGTTTTGAAATTAGTCTCGCTTAACCAGTCTATCGACCATTCTAGGGCTGATTGACAGGTCGGGATTGTTTTAAGAAGCTTGTAAAAGTAAAATGAAACTACTGCTAGTATCATGTTCCTGTCTAACCCGAGTGCTTCAGAGATATTATCTGTACTAAACCAAAAGATGCCGCTCTTAACGGTAAAGTTAATGATAAAGCGATTTAAAAAATGAAACGAACGTAATTTCTAAATCTGCTGTAATAACCAAGAAGCTTAATTTTACTGCTATTCAAAATCTTCAACAATAAATTTTTTACGGCTGTAATAGTTGATAGATTTGTAGAGAATTGCACGTGCCATGGCTATTTATAGTATCATACTGTCAGAAAGTTGGACTCGACACGGCGAATGTGCACGCTTCAGTGGTAGTCTCGAACTATCAGCGGTTGACTGTATTTCTGTAGGTGCATGGGTCACCCTATCAGTAGATATAATACCAAGGTGAGAAACGGGTTAGATTAAAATACAGTAATTGGGATCAGAGTTCACTACACTAGATTCTGTCAACCTTTGGCAATACTCACTAATTTTCGTTAGGTAGACAATCGAGTTACGATGACGTTTTAAAATTATCCACGTGACGGGATCTAGAGTAGTGAACTTGGATCCCAATTCATAATATGAACATTAATAAACCATTAATAATCCGTCAAGCATGAGGTTTTATACACGTCATGATATATTGAGACAAAGAATTTAACAGTAAGAAAGGGCAAAAAACAATGAAAAACTTATTAAAAGTTCTTAATCAAATTTTAAATAAAATATTTTGAATTCGTCATTTAACAAACCAGAAATTCGGCGGTGCCCGCCTTCCTATGATGCCCCATGCACGTGCTTACTTTGCTTAATGGTTAATCCAGACCGGTTGGATCTACTTGTTATGGTCAGTTCCTGGTGTTGGGAAGTGTCTCTCACGATTACAAGCTGGATATGTCCACCAAACGAGACTACTGGATGTAATCTCCCTGTTATATGGACAACGCCAGACTGCATCGTTCTCGCGCGGTGCTAGCCAACCTTCTACACAATCACGTGACGACTTTGCCATGATCAGCCAGGAGTCAGGATTTCAATCAACTGGGGCACATGTGGGGTGGCATTGGTCGTGGGACAGAGACAATGGAATCCCTCGTACAAGAACTGGGCGCAGTATTACACGGGGAGCTGCGACAGCTGTCTCTTATTCGTTTCACAGGAGGTACGAGGCGCAGACTGGAAGTCACCATTCTGACAAGGAAGGATAGATACATGCCCTATTGAACCATTGAGACAAGGATGTCATGTGGGTGCACATACCATAACCATATTGACGTACTTAATGACCTCGGAGATACCCATACTTAAAATGTCATTTTGTGATTACTATTCCCACCGTATCTGGAATGCTTGATTACGTCACGACCCTGCTCTTTACACATCTATTTTCGTAGCTGGGACTAATTTCGTGGCACACCACCGTCATTTCAGAATGTTCCAAGATGACAATCCAGCTCTTGATCAATACAACGGGTAATTTTTTCTTGTCTGTGATGTGGAGACCGTTCCCAAAGAACGTGGGTGAAGAGATTATCGGCTGCCCATCGTTGGTCCGACGAGAACGATAATAATAGGCTCTAACAAAAGCTGTGGCCTTTCGCAAAGCCTTCTGTTCGAGTTTCAATCACGATTGGAGTCGAGAAAACCATCATAGAAGTGTGCGCGTGCGCGGTTAACAGATCATTAAGAGGGTACTCTAAACTGGGGTCCATCTGTGAAAGCCAATGAGAAAACGTTACAGCACGACCTGTGGCCGCTGGTGTAATTCAGGTGTAGGAACAAATCCCACTATCCTGGCTAAATTCCACTCCCTAATAATGCATAAGTGTTCAATGTCAATAGAATTATCCTGAGGTTAGTTTTGAATTAATCGCAATTGGACGATTGTTTTGAAGAGACCATAACTAAATCCCTTTCCTTTGCCGACAGTACTGTTGTAATAACTAATATTGCTCGATTTACTCCAATTCTATGCTTAAATATGATCTGGCAATAAATTTACAGTATCTTTCTCTCTACAATACAGCGGTTAATAATTCTGGAAATGAGTTTGGGAAAACAATCAAGATCCCCTTTACCCCATTACGAACTACATGTATTCCAGTAAATTTCATCAAATTGCTGTCCAGTCAAAACAAGAGACAAATATTTCGTTAGCTCATAAAACCGAACAAAAGTAAAGTAAGCAAATTTATGTTTCAACAAATTTTATTAACAGTATGGATACAGCATCTTATTCATAATAGAAAAATTCAACAAAACTGAATTATGATGAAATAAAGTGAATTTTTTCATCCACACATTTATTGGTAATTAATGAAATAATAATATTAACAATCACATGTATCATGTGATTTTGGTCATGTCTAAGCCATATCTTCACGGTCCATACATCATTTTCAATTGAACAATTCTTGGTACAATTTTTATTTTACTTCCCCATTCTTACCTATATGATACTTACGACACACATACTTACAAACATAACCCCTTCAGGCGGGTGATATGAAGGTTTAAGCCGTCCCCTAACCACTTTACTCCACTGCACCATGAAAAAAGCAAAATATACATCTAATTTGGATATTCTTTTTTCTATGAAAAGTTTAGCTCTGCCAAGTCCTGGTTATTGTCGAGCTACATGTAGGTCATTAAAACGATAGTTTTTAAAACGTAAATAAAGTGTATTTTTATTTTCTACAATTATGAAGAAACTAACCATATAGTTAATTTTTAATCATTTTTACCAAAGACTCATGTACCACATAATGTACTTATTACACACTAACCATATGTAACAAGGGAGATAATTATGCAACCCTTGCTAAGCAATCAACAATAATCTGCTCTTAACATTTTCTTAACACAATACTCTTGTATTAAAGGGAAGAGTTACTGTACTTTGATAGACATACTGTCAAAACTAACACTTAACACATTCTTTCAGAGATTTCTTTTGTATTAAGCAATGCAATTTAACAAGACTAGAATAACTTATTTTTACATTAACATACCGTACACAAATTATACATCTTAACATTAAGGACATGTATCCCACCAAAGTTAGTTACTTACACAATAAGTCCTCCAAGGAATTTTTTTTTGTACATCTATACAGGGTTCCCGCGGCTTCGTCAAACATTTTTTCAAGGATATTCAAGGATAAATGTACATTTTTTAGCCTAAAGTTACAATTTTTCATCTTAAAAATAACCAAAACATTACCAACTATCGTTATAATCTCATATTTAAAAGGAATTGAAGACATTTGAAACAAAATTAAGGATCTCAACTGAAACAAGGATATTCAAGACCTTGAAAATGAAATTTTAAATTTAAGGATATTCAAGGACCGCGGGAACCCTGCTATATATATTCAAAGGCAACCATAACAATCAAGGATCTTTTTTTTTTATATAAATATATGTGAATGAATAATACAGGTTTTTCGAAACTATTCCTTGATAGAAATGATTAGCCACTAAAATTCTTAAAAGTTATAAAATAATACTGATACAATAATTCATCGGAACTTAATTGTAACTTTTAAAAATTATACATTATCCATAATAAATAAGACAACAAATAAATACATGTAAAAACTAAGAACTAAAAATCATCAATTTCCAAAGCAACACAACTTAATACTAACCATTTAATCTAATGGTACTTTTATCTTAAAACTCATCGCTTCTCAGACCAAATTTTAAAATGGCCCTTTATCCTGAAAGAGAAAACATATGGCAATTATCATCAATCAAGCATCAAAACATTGAAAAATAATTTTGAATTTTGAGGTGGGAAAGTTGAATTTTTCACCACATAGTTTTAATATGCAACAAGGCACACAAAAAAAATAGGAACATGTATAGCCAAATGTATATTTGTTTTTTGGAAACAAGGAAAGATTGAATAACAGATACTGACAGTAGATACTGTATACTACACCGTTTAAAATGTCTTTCAATTCAAAAGATTTGAAATTTAAAGATGAAATGTTTCATTCAAGCTGCAAAGTAAATAAGATTGTTTAGTATATCTTATAGTCATACACATTTAACAAAAACATTACATAATTTATACCACAAACACATTATAAATAACAAAATAGAGAATAATAACAAAAATATTTAACAAAAAGTTGAAGAAATCTCTGAAACAATGTCAAAAATTTCTCCAATTCCTTTGTTATTTTTTTGTTACATGTACTTTAATAATTAAGTCAATATCTTTTTGTTCAAATAGTCTGTCTCTAACTCAAATGTTTTTTGTGATATCAGAGCTTCCTTTTCCACCAGATTGTCTTCTTGAAACACACTACAAGCACTTTTAAATTAATACTGTACACAATATATACATGTTAGTACACACAGTACAGTATAAAGGTCAATCATTTAATTTTCTCTATGAAATTGAAAGATAAATGATTTTACCATGAATGTCATATGGGATGGAATGATATTTTTAACACTATGATGGAGAATTGACATTTAACTGCTGTCGAACATAGGAATGATCACTATAAATTAAACTGGATTTCGAATTATTATTGCAGTCGGCACAAAATTCGAGTGAAACTCGTTGACCGGTGACATGTAAACAAATTCCACCAGTGCCATCCTCCTCAATTTCCGGTTCTGTACCTTGAGATAATCGCACTTCATTTTCTTTTGTGCTTACATTACTTACTGACCTACAGGACCTTGTCATCCTCCTAGTTTTAGAAGATGACGCGGAAAGTGTTTCATCTGCATTTTCATGTTTTCTTTTTAGTACACTGGGTCTTGCGGCGGACCTATCAATGTTTGTTTGACAAGAACTTTCTGTTTTATCATCAACAGACTTATTTCTTTGTGTTGGAAATTTGACATTTGGGGTTGTGTGGATGTTTTGAAGCAAAGCTGACAATGCTGACTGATTGGCTAAAACATTACTCAAATATTTGACTTCTGTTTTAAGTTTATTAATTTCATTGTCTTTTAAGTCTTCATTCATTCTCAGTCGTGTATTTTCATCTCTCAATGCTTTGACTGTTTTTTCCAAGTGTGACAAGTATTGTTTTTTCTTCATTCTATTTTCTCGAGCAGCAACCGCATTTTTGGACATACACTGGGGTTCCCCGTCTGCTGTTTTCCACATCTTTGCTCCAGGATTATTATTTAAATGAGAAACTGGAACTAGTACATGCGTTTTAATAGCATTCTTCAGCTTGACTTCTTCTTGTCGTCGTTGTTGTAAGATTTCAAGATCACTCATGCCGTTTGTTCGGCCATTACTGACCTCATTCTTTTTAACAGGGGCATTTATCGATTTTCCCAAATAAGAGCACAAATCAAGCGATTCATCATCGACAAAATTATCGTGAAAGCTAAGAAAATTCATGTCGTCATTATTTGAATTCATAAATTCGGGTAGCAGGTCTATTTCCTCAGTCTGGTCAAAGTGTGACGAACTACCTGATAGTGAGGCGTCCGACCGCGCTATCGAAAAAATGGCTTCCCTTTCTTCTGACAAAAGATTTTCAATATCCACTTCCACCGTCTGATCGTCGACATCAATCACTGAATCCATTGCAACGACTCTATACTTACACTTGTTTTGGACCAATTTATGAACTATTTAGTCTGCTTAAATTGTGTTTTTTTTTTAAATCATTTTACCTACCAAGCAAAGCAAGTAATCGTCTTTTGTCTCGTTCCGACAACGCAACCTCAACGTTTTCCAATAGATCACGTGATTAAATTTTACGCCAAGAGTTGTCTCCCCTGGACATACTATTCTCTTGCCGCACGCTTACGATAGTAATCATCAAATTTATACAGGAAAAATATATGACAAGGTCTTAGAAAAAATGTTAAATCTTTTGAAAATAAAGTAATCATTACTATTAAATCTCCCCAAATCTGTAAAGGTGACGCGAAAAAGAATCGAACAGCCGTTGAATTTTAAGTCGCTTACCTCAAAGCAAAATTAGTATTTCTTAAATGGATTTATCTCCCTTATATCAATCAGAACCGGCATATCAGCCATACTCTTCCATAATAAATATTACTATTAAAAAAAAAAAAAAAAGACCTCATCCCTTCGCCAAAATTCGACTGGTCACATCATGTCTATGCCCATCAGCCACTTACAACAGCATTTTTGTAAGAATTTCTTCAGAAATAGATTACTATACCCAGGCCATTAATTTGCAGCCCCCATTTGTTTCTATAATAAAATGAAATGAAATGGGGTTTAACGTTCTACTGTTTTGCTCCGAACTGGGCTAATGAAGACGGGCATACGCCATACAGTGTGCTATGAGGTAAATTTTGCCCAGACGGATGCACTACGGCCTACTCTTATATCGAATTCCAACTGTCAAGGGATCTTTTACATGCACGTCAATGTGTACTCAGGACCTTGGTTTTTCATCTCATCCAAATGACTAGGCAACTGTCCTTGTCAGGCCCTCCGTCCTGCACCACTGATAAGGGGGAACCACGCCAGAATATCTGGGTGAACTTTCTCGGCCAATGCAGGGATCGAAAGACCAGACCTCCAGGCCAGCGAGCCAGCGTCTTACCCACTTTTGACTTAGCCAAAGTGATCCCCTTTCTATAATAAAGAATTGTGTATCATTGTTTTAAGAAATAGTGCATAATTTATAGCATGATTACAGCGGTTCAGAGATAACGACTGAATACAGTATTAAACAAATAAATATTTTATTTGTTCATAATAATAATCAACTGGAACGAAAAAAAAATAATTAATATGACCTTTGCATAGGTAACATTCAGTACAATATGAAATGCAATAATCTATATACATGTAAACCATCATATCCCACCCTTCTTACGGTTTGATACAAACAAAACTTAAAATCTTCCAGTCCTGGAAAAACACCCATTGAACAAATACTTATTTGTATTCAAAAGTATTTATCACCAAATTCCTTCATACAACTGGATGCTTGGATGGCTGAATGGTTAGTTTGTGTGCGTTGTATCATATGGTCTGTCATTGAGTCAACTGGTGTGGTTTCGAATCCCCATTTGTATGTGACAAGGAGTAGGGTCATCTGTCCAACCTCGTGTGTTTTCTCTGGGTCCTCTAGATTGTTGCTAAAGACCCCTTCGTGCAAGCGAATTGAAATAAAGTTGAAACATGTGTTAGTCCCCAAATGGTCTAATTTGTGTCGAGTGGATGTTAGACCCCATTTCTCTCTCGCTTTCTCCCATACTTAACTAATGCTCTACCTTTTTATGATATGCCATACGCTAATAATAATAATAAAATAAATAATAAACGTATTGTCCCTGGACCTAAATTATCAGTTATCAAGATTAGTATCAGATTCAAAGAAGCAGATTTATAGAATTCTCTATCAAGCACTATTAAAAACAGAACATTTATATACTCCTTCCGTGGACAGATCATGGATATCCTGCAGACATAATATCATTGTTATATGATCAAGATGTTTATAGAGTTTATGTTGTGTAGGAAATATTTATTTACAATATTATTATCTGTACTATACAAGTCTTGCCATAATATATATTGCGTATTACACCTTTTGAAATATTTATTTACAAAATTATGATCTGTACTGTCCAAGTCTTGCCATAATATATACTGTGTATTACACCTTTGGAATTATTGTGTAGGAAATATTTATTTACAAAATTATGATCTGTACTATACAAGTCTTGCCATAATATATATTGCGTATTACACCTTTTGAAATTATATTTACATATATGTACATATATCTTTTGTGTATAATCAAGATGTTTATAGAGTTTATGTTGTGTAGGAAATATTTATTTACAATATTATTATCTGTACTATACAAGTCTTGCCATAATATATATTGCGTATTACACCTTTTGAAATATTTATTTACAAAATTATGATCTGTACTGTCCAAGTCTTGCCATAATATATACTGTGTATTACACCTTTTGGAATTATTGTGTAGGAAATATTTATTTACAAAATTATGATCTGTACTATACAAGTCTTGCCATAATATATATTGTGTATTACACCTTTTGAAATTATATTTACATATATGTACATATATCGTTTGTGTATAATCTTTTTTTGTCCTTCTATACTTGCTGTATTTTTTATTCTTGGAATTTGGCAAATAAACAAACTCCATTACATTCTCCAAATATCCAATGTGCTATAAATGACACATATATAAAACATTTCCCATTTCGGATTATTTTTGATGTGCTGGGTCCCTATAGCCTTTTACAACAACAGGGGACTGGAACCAAAGATGGTCATCATCTTGATTAATTGTCTGTGCTGGAGTAGTGGCTTTATGATTTATTCGATCAATGGGAGTTTTACTGGCAACAGGGGTTTGATATTTATGGTGACCAAAAGAAATTCTTCTGGAAAGCAATTCTGATAACGAAACATCATCTAAAGCAGTAGCCGACATGTCAATGTCTAAACTGTCCAAACAGTCTATTCCAGAAATGTCAAATTCGTTGGCATCGTGCGTTAAATCGTGGGTTAAAACAACTGGTTGTTCGCACACACAGTTGAACATAAACTGTTGTCCACGACTCGATGTCTTGAAGTTGTGTTTTGGGGTAAACCATTCTATATTACAGCCCCTGGGAGCTTTCAATAAAACTGTCATATTAGTTGGTGAAATACCTTTAATATTTCCCAATAAATCTTGAGTTATTAATTGTCGAAATAATGATCTTACACAAGATTTAAACACAATATTTTCAGCATCTGGACTCAATGGGGGCATCTGGATAATGTACATTTCCTTCGGACTAACAACAGTACTTCCCAACACTATCATTATCTGGCTAATCTCTGGGCAGTGTTCGAATGATTTTTGAATATTTTCAAAAATCAAGTCCAGGTTTTCTAAAGCTGATGATGCTTTTCTCTCTGTTAATCTATTTTTCAATTTTCTTTTTGAAGACAAGGGCATCTGAAATTTAAAAAAATAATAAATTAAATACTTTTAAAATGATTTATTATATGAAGTATGTGTATGATAAATTTTAATTATTAAATTGTACAATAAAATTATGTTATTTAGACCTCTTTGGTACTTGTAGTGGGATCATTGGGTATTGTGGTTTACTCATGTCAGTCAGTAGCTACGAGAACGTAATAAAAACGCTGAGTAAATACTGAACACGGAGGGTTGAGAGGTAAGGTTTGTTATCTAGTCAGTCAGTAGTACTAGTGCAAGACAGAGGGCCTGACATGGTACAGATTCTAGTTATTAGTAGAATGTGAGAAAATCTCAGGTCCTGGATGTATACACATAAAAAATAAATAAAAAAAATGGACAGTTCGAATTTAAAATAAGAGCAAGCCATAGTCGATAGTGCCACTACCCTGGAAAAAAATTCTTCTCATATAGTCATACAATACGGCATATAATTATACATGTCATCATTACTAAAGTAGGATGTTAAACCCCATTTCACCTGTCCTGTGTAGGCATAGCCATCCATAGGCATCACAATGCAAGATGCCGATCCGATGGTTAACTTTTAGCCAATTTAGTAGGCATCATTTCATAATCCAATTATCGATTGCCATCATTAGATTAATGTAATAAGGTATATAGCTTTATATTGTGTACCGGTACCTGTTTTTGACGCATTTCGTTCCTCTTTTCATTTTCTCTACTTTCGATTTCTTGAAGCTCTGAAAGTTTTTTCAATTCTCGTTTAGCGTGGTCAAACGGCACAGGAATTTGTTGCCGTTCATACATAAAGTACTTAACAAGTTCATTAACCATTGCACCTCTAGTTGTTGAATGTAATCCACCATCAAATATTAAATCGCAGGATTTATTTACATTTTCTTTTACTCTGAAATTTAACCGTTTATTTAGATTACCCGCCATTTTTACCTTTTGACAGCGAAGATTGGTAAACGGGAGATAACTCATCAAGAAAATATGGATGCAGACCATCGTTTATTGTTCCTTTCCCTATCTTCCCTTGGCCATTTTTGTTTACTTTTTGGTTTAGAATTGAAGAAGAGGGTTTGAAATGGCATATTTTCCGGCATTCGAATCCCTTCATGAGCAGAAAATAAACTGTTATGGCGGGTGTGTCAACTGTCAGTTGGATTAAAAAAGAGGCTTATCAAAACAATTTACAAAAAGGATGCCAAATGTGAAATTTTCAATTTGTCCATCTTTGCATATACATAATAAACAAACTTGAAATTTCTTTTGACTAATATTCCTGTCTGGGATTTAACTGACAGAATATATGCAAGGTATTCAAAATGACCAGCACCTAGCAGCAATTAACAAAGTCATACTGAAGCACATTCAAATACTTTTTGGAACTGTTATCTTACATTTATCTTGTACTGTATGTATGTTTTAATTTTTGAATGGATTGGATGACTAGTATTCATTTTTATGAACAATACCTGCAATTATCAAAATCCAAAAACTTCATAAAATATGGGACTTACAACACAACGATAAGAACAAAAATGTGAGTTTTGAAAAAAAATTGGGAACTTATTTGACTAAAATTAATATCTGAACCATGTTTTTTAACCATACTATCCAATGGATGTTTTATTTTGAAGATGGCAACAAAGAGAGAGAGAGAGAGAGAGAGAGAGAGAGAGAGGGAGGACAAAAATGGTTCAATTTTATTTCAATAATTTGCTTGTGCGTAGGGATCTTTAAAAGTGTGAGGAAAATGGACAACCCATAGAAAACCCATGACGTTGGACAGGTGATGGCAACAAAGAGGATAAAATAAAGAACCATATTTTTTCAGTGCTACTTCTTTGTTTTTATCTTAAAGATGCCAACAATGAAGATACAATCAGGATGTTAATCAATTGAAAAGTTTATAATTCACTGTCTTATTCATATAAAAATAAATACCCAAAAGAAAACATCAGCTTTAAAAAATAGTTTATTAAAACTGTTAAATTCAAATTAATATACATGTCATTTTTAGAGATAAAAGATTATTAAATGCTTAAAGAAATTATTTGAGTTTTTTCTTTACCATGGTTTAATTGTACGGACATATTCCTTGCTAATAAAAAATCATAATAATAACTCAGCATATAGCTGGACTAACATCAGATTTTACACCCTAAAATTAAATATTTCACACATACACCAGATTTTCTGAGGTAGATACTAAAGTAAGATACTGATATATGTCCCAAGACAATGACTATAATTCTGATATTCAGGTCCTCAGACTAAGATAACATCATATAATACACAAAGGGTTTACCATAGTATCCATGTGGACTCCAGTCTTATAATAAAGCTTGCAGTAATGTATCCAAACTTCACAATAGTGAGATCCTTATATGTTGGTAACGATGTCGACTCCAGCTTTATAAAAAAAGCTCACCTTAAATATATGCAACCGGCACAATATTGGGATCCTGATATGTAAACTTCTTTAATAAATTTTTTTTTTTAAATATCAAGAGTATGAATAACATTAAAAAGATTTTGAAATACAAAGAGTATTAATGACATTAAAAATACTAGACATGTATATTGCACTTTGTAACAAATAAAACACAAATTTAAATTTGCTTTCTTTTGGATGAGCACTTAATTCAGTATATCACTGTAGTTCTTAAGTTCTTCATAAATAATCAATTCTTAATAAAAAAAAGTAAAAAAAAAAAAAGAACCGAAAACTACATGAGCTATGACTAGTGTATTATTGGGTTATAATATATAATAAATATAAATTATGACTAGATCGATTCAATCAAATAACATTTTTGGCAACATTGGGAGATGATTTATGCCCTATATCGTGGATCATACAAGACACAAATGAGATGCAATGATATGTACATACGGTTGATTTCTAGTGTCATATCTAAAGCACAAAGGATGAGTATCTACACATTTACAACATTCATACTATTATACAGAGTTTACAGCACTCTTATAACTCACACTAAGTTATAGTTTACAGAACACTATAATAAACAGTTATAACTATATACACACTTTTAACTCACACTATAAACAGTTTACAAAACACTTTAATACACAGTTATAACTCACACTATAAGCAGTTTACAACTCCCTTTTATACATTTTACAAAACACTATAATACATGCAAAATACAAAACACTACTATACACTTTACACACTATACAATGAAATGTTATCACTAAATCTATTTTGGCAACATATAACTGGAACACTTTTTGATTTGGATCTTAAAAAATGGAAACTGGTCTTTTATATTATAAAACAAACTGTAATGAGTCAATGTATAAATCAATGAACCATTGTGACTAGTATATGATTAACATAGTATAAATACTCCAGTCAGTGTATAAATCAATGAAACATTGTGACTAGTATATGATTTTCATAATATAAATGCACATTAAAGAAAATACTCCAGTGCAGTATTTCAATTATCCAATTTGGCATGTTTTGAAATCACTCGGATGAGATTTTTTGGAAATGTTTGAGTTCACAATAGTGATAATTCTGGAAATGTTTTGAATTTGTTTTGATAATTATTGCTAAAATATGTTTGAGCTGTAGTTGAATGATTATACATTAATGAGCTGGTATTAATAAAACATATCAAATGATTCAAATGGTTATTTAGTATTAAACTATGTTATGTTACACTATCCTTTAACATAACTGCACCATAAACTGGCAGCAAACTGGATGAGTTGGAACTGATAAAAAATATCATCAAATGTTTCAAAAAATTATTCAGTATTAAACTATTATATAATACACTATCTTTAAAATGAAATGTGGTTTGACGTCCTCCTGTTTTGCTCCGACTGGCTATAGTGTGCTATGAAGGAAATTTTGCCCGGGCAACGGCACTATGGCCTATTCTTATATCGAAATGCAACTACCAAGGGATCTTTTAGGTGCACGCCAATGTATAAACGTGACATTGGTTTTTCACCAAACGTGACCTTGGTTTTTCATCCCATCCAAACGACTAGACAGTTGTCCTTGTCAATCCGCCCGTACTGCAACACTGACAAGGGGAAACCACGTCGGAACATCCCGATGAACTTTCTCAGTCAATTCCGGGATCGAACACACTACCTCCAGGCTAGCAATCCAGTGTCTTACCCACTTAGTAACTGCACCACAAAATGGCAGCAAACAGGATGATACGACTATGTAAATTAGTCTCTGAATATTGCACGATTATTGCACACACTATTCTATATTAATGTCATAATACTGCTGATTTTAATGAATGATAATAAAAAAAGGTTTCTAAAATTTCTAGCTCAAAACTTCGCAATATGTTCTATTCAGCAAAGAGCGAAGTGTTTTTGCTAATTGTTGAAGTTGTTCACATTTTTTTTCTAGCTGCATTTCACGTTTAACGGTATCGCGTAAGGTCTGTGTTAACTTGGATTTGTCTGTGAATAGATTTTTATTTTCAGATAGCTGAAAAGAAAAATAAAACTTTAACATATCTGGATATTAGAAGTAACTGAGACAAAAATAGAACAATAATTCTACAAATACAATTAACATTAAAAAACAGATTAAAATACAGATCTATATTTTGTTTACTTTTTTTAAATTTCGATGGCCTCTACTACATTAAGATCTGACCAGCTGTAGTGGTAGGTCACATCAGGGGGTCATACGAGTGGCTTTTGACCCTATGACATCAGACATTTGATTAACCAATCATGTTTCTGGTAGGACACCCACAGTTCCATGCAAGAAACGCCAAGAAGTCGCTGCAACAAACATTTCATTGGCTAATCCCTTACATTAATCATAATGCGTAGTAAAATGTAGTAAAGACAAGTAAAACGAAATTTTGAACTATAAAAAATGAAATAAAAAATTGTTTTAATCAGATTGATTATAAAAGATGAAGGGGACAGCAAAATATATGCTGATCACTGTTTCTAGTATTTTTCATGATACAAATGCAGTTTACACTACCTGTCTGCTATCTTTGTTTCTCAGTAATAAAATGAAATTGGGTTTAATGTCTGTATTTTTCTCCACCGACTGGGTTAATCAAGACAGGGATAATGAAGATGGACTTACGCCACACAGTATGCTATGGGGGGAAATTTTGCCCAGAGAGCAGCACTACGGCCTACTCTTATTTCGAATTCCAACTGTCAAGGGTTCTTTTTCGTGCACGCCGATGCGTGAGGACTTCAAGTTTTTGTCCCATCTGTATGACTAGACATTGTCCTTGCCAGGTGTTTCGTGCCGCACCATTGACAAGGGGAAACATTTTTCAGAAATCCTGGAAGTTTTAAGAATTGAAAGTTTTCAAGTGTTGTCCATTCAGTTGAATACATAGGTTGTTTTAAAATTGGACATAAAACAGGTCTGTTCTATTTGAGATATTTTGATGTTTGTAAGATGCTGTAGGTTTGTTGTTGGCTATATGTTTATTTTAACTCTATGAAAGGATTGGACATGGTTTCAGGTATTTAAATGAAATTCAATGGGGTTTAACTGGGCTAACGAAGTTGGGCATACGCCATAGTGTGCTATGAGGAAATTTTGCCTGGGCAGCAGCACTACAGCCTACTCGTATTTGTTTTACCCATCTGAATGACTTGACACTTTCCTTGCCAAGGCCGCACATCCTGTACCACCATGGACAATCCTGACAAACTTGCTAGGCTTACACTAGAAGTGAACTTGAGACATCTTAGTTTTCGAGCCAGCGCCTTACTCACTGATCCACTGCAACTCCCGATTTGTTGTAAATTAATACTCACCATAGTACAGTATTTGTCGTTGACTTCAATTAGAGAAGATTTATACTGTTCTAACTTCTGCGTTAACCTTTGTTTATCACCTTCAACAATCGCCATTTTCTTATTATGACCTTGAACCAGATCTGTCATTATAAAATTGTACAACCTGTTTAATTTTTGTAGAGCAGCCAGATACTCTCTAAATTATATACTGTTATAAACAGGTCATAGGTCATCAAATACATTCTAAATTATACATTGATACTCTCTAAATTATATACTGTTATAAACAGGTCATAGGTCATCAAATACATTCTAAATTATACATTGTTACAAACAGGTCACAGGTCATCAAATACATTCTAAATTATATACTGTTATAAACAGGTCATAGGTCATCAAATACATTCTAAATTATTTACTGTTACACACTGGTCATAGGTCATCAAATACATTCTAAATTGTATACTGTAACACACATGTCATAGGTCATCAAATACATTCTAAATTATTTACTGTTACACACTGGTCATAGGTCATCAAATACATTCTAAATTGTATACTGTAACACACATGTCATAGGTCATCAAATACATTCTAAATTATATACTGTTACACGCTGGTCATAGGTCATAAAATACATTCTAAATTATAAACTGTTACACATAAATACATATCATATCCAGTAAATATCTATTACAGATTACAACTAACCTTTATGTAATTTTTCTGTCGCTTCATGTTGAGTTCTGAGAGCATCTTGTAACAAGAGAACTAATCTCTGCTGTTCAAATAAATTCAGCTGAACTTTTGTATAATTCTCTAAATCTACCATACTATTTGTCTTCTCTTTCCATGACTGAATCTCATTCACATATTTATATTGAGACTTAGCTAAATTTGTACTGGCTTCAAATAGCTGAAACATTAATAACATTTATAAAATTAATTTCTAACTGTATTGTCTCTAAGGTATAGTCTGTTCTGTCTATCTCTTATCACCCAGTTATCCTGAATTCTTTATAAGCCTAGTATAATATTATTACGATTTGTTGGAACTTTGCCTACCAATATTTTTATCATTTGTTTCAATGGCATGTTGGCTCTAATATACAGGTGACAATTCCATGGAATACAATTACTGCATATTACTGATCCACGTTTCCACTAGGCTTCTCGAGTCTTGATCATTGTGTTCCATAGAATTGTGACCTGCGTAATATTTTATCATCAATCTTTATCTCTTTTACTATTTAACATTTTACAGGAATTGTCTTTACAAAAAAATTATTTCATTTTATGATTTTATCCTACATGGTATTTCAGACCAATGCTACAACATGATAATCTTGTTGAGATTTCAGCAAGAGGTAAATATTTCTATGGTTAGTAATTGAGAGAGATTTAAATAATTATTCATTTCAAGAGCACTTGAAAAATTTGGATTTGTAAATATTATTGCTATTATTGCACAGACAGACTGAAGAATAGTTTCCCAGTCTTAATCGAGAGTATAAAAAAATGAAACGAAACATAGATCTGTATTTTAATCAGGTTGAGTCATAATGATAATACAATATACAGTACATGATGTCCATCCACATGCACACATACAGTATACTAATAAATATTTCAAAATAACAATATCTTTAACTAAGATCAAAATGTCTAACTTGAAACTTATAGGTCCATTAATATATGTGACCCGCTCCCACAAAACCAGACGCTTGTCGCACAACTTCATTTTGTACTACGGCTACAAAAGCATAAACTGTATGCCTTCTTGTTACTAAGAATGAGCCCAACTGCAGATGATACGACAAATTTAAACAGAATTGTATTTTTGGAAAGCTTTGGATGTGGACTATTCAAATATGCTGCCAACTCTATTTTCATAAAAATGACCACGAGCCTGGTTTTGTGGGAGCCTCTCACATATAGTCACACAAATTATATAAACGATAAACCAATTAATTTCTATCCCTTTTTAAATTATGAATTTTAGTCAATTAATATCCATTAAATTCTATTTATCTCCCGTAAATATATCTTGTAGGTTGGTGATAAATTACACCCGACAGTTCGACAAGTTTATTCTGTCAATTTCACTTATCCATAATCTTGGCAATTTTTTTTTTATCAAATTTTTTAAATTTTGGACATAATGTATAGAATATGCATATTTATAATACATCTTTCCTGGCCAGGTCACTTTTTATTTTTCAAAACATTGGGCGATATAGACAAAAATAAAAGAAGCTCATCGGTGATTTGTAAAACCTGCATAATGTACGACTCTCAGTGCCAGTTACCATTATGCATCATCCACGATTTCTCAAGAATGGAATACTGCATACTAGCAAAAATGTTGGTAAAATCCGAGGTGACGTTTTCAATAATGGTGTATGAGATTATGAGGTTTTTTTTATTGACTTGAAGACTGAGACTAGAAACTGTAGGTGAGTGGAACGACTGACAGTTTCTGCTTAGAGACAGGTAAAATGATATACTAGTAATAGAATGGTGTATGAGATTATGAGTTTTTTTATTGACTGGAAGACTGAGACTAGAATCTGCAGGTGAGTGGAACTATTGACAGTTTCTGCTTAGTGACAAGGTAAAATGATGTACCAGTAATAGAATGGAACAGCTAGCTAATAAGAAGTCATGCACATTAAATTGTAGTGTAATAAGCTCTAATTGGTTTAATTCTCAGCCTTTATCATATTATCTAGCAGTACTTTCAGTTAATAAAGCCATACAGATTAACAGTTCATTAGTATCATCTTATGAGCCAATCTCTAGAGCAAAAATAGCCATGCCCCCCTTGCTTGACAACAACATGACTATACACCTTTCCCCATCAACCTAGATCTTATGACGTCATTGAAAATGTGAGTGTTTACAAAAGTCCATATATTCATTTGGCAACTTTTTTATTCTAAAGAAATGTTATATTTTTATCAGATAATTTGGTAATTTATGGAATTTTTGGATTGTCATAGAAAAGGGGCGTGTCTTTTATCATGTGGCGATACCCTAATCTGATTGGTTGCCATTGTGTTATACATCATACTCATTATCTGATTGGTTGCTGTTGTGTTATTGACACCAGGGATAAGTTTCATTCTACAGCCAGTTGTGAAGTTTCGAAGCCATGGCAATATTACAACATAAGAATAATTTCATGCTATTACAGCATCATTCCTTGACTCGCATTTAATTAATTATCTATATATATTACAATACATATATATATATATAAACACATAATATATACTATCAAAATTTAGTATTGATATGTTACAAAATCGACTTCATGCACACTGAGCACTGCACATTACAATAAAAGAAATAACTATTTACACGTAGATCTTCTGTCATGGAACGAAGCCAAGAATTCTGTTGAAAAGATTCAATTCATTTACCTTAAGTCACACATATTTTTAAAACAACATCACAGTTTTTTATAGAATGCATCTTTCATTTCAAAGAAGTATTTTTACAAGCAAACCTTGTATGGGTTTGAGATAAGCTAGCTAGCCATTAATAGAGTGGTTTGAAGGTGTTCAGCTTGGTGAAATGATATGAAATGAAATGGGGTTTAATAAAATTCTACTTTTTTGCACCAACAAGTTCAATGACCGTTAAACCTTTATTTTTTGTGCCATCCGAACAACTAACACTTTTCTTTGCATGTCCAACCGACAAGCAAACACCTAGCTGCAAAATCCCAAGGAACTTTTACAAGCATCAAAGGGATATAACCCAGGACCCTCGTTAGTCAAGCAGCGACTGTGGTGACTGTTCATATTTGATATAAATCTCTCTAATTGAATTGGTCGATTTCGTTCAGCTTGGTTTCATTCTTTCTAATTGAATTGTAGAATCTAGTTACAAAGATCCATGTTTTTTTCTATATATTTACCATTAGAGGAGTCTTTTGAAGTGGGAGGAAACCAGAGGACGAAGAGAAAACGCACGAGGTAGGACACGTGACCCTACTCCTTGTCACATAACAAGAAGGGAATCGAAACCACGCCACGCCACGCGACTCAATGACAGACCTTGTGATTTCATGCCACTTGTTCAACTACTAGACCATCCACCCCCCACCCGCCCCAAATTTACAAGATATAAAATAAATGTTTTGAATAATAAACAAACCTGATTATTGGTAGATTGTAAAATGTTTTCCAATTTTTCCTTCTCTTTCTGTAAAGTAACAATTTGTTCCTGAAATAATCATAATTTGTATTAAAGTTAGTAATAACGTAAAGGAACAAATGATGGAGAAAACAAAAGTAGCAATTAATCCAGGCAATTATTTAGAGGTGGGGTTTAACATCCACTCAACACAAACTACATGATTTCAGGACTAACATATGGTATCATTTTATTTCAATAATATGCTTGGTCTTTAGCAGTGGGAGGAAAGAGAGAGAGAGAAATGGGGTTTAACGTCCACTCAACAAAAACCAGGTCATTTAAGGACTAACACATGGTTCAATTTTTTTTGAATGATTCACTTGCGCTTAGGGAGTCTTTAGCAGTGGAAGAAGAATGGAGGATTCGGCGAGAAGACACAAGGTTGGACCGGCGCCACTACTCCTTGTCACCTACCAGACTGGGATAGAAACCATGTCATTTGACTCAATGACAGATCTTATGATCTAAACCTCATGCATTAGACCACTTGACCACTCCTCCTAAATAACATGGATTAGATCACTTGACCACTCCTCCTAAATAACATGCATTAGACCACTTGACCACTCCCCCTAAATAATATGCATTAGATCACTTGACCACTCCTCCTAAATAACATGCATTAGATCACTTGACCACTCCTCCTAAATAACATACATTGGACCACTTGACCACTCCCCTAAATAACATGCATTGGACCACTTGACCACTCCCCTTAAATAATTTAGGAAAAGTTTGGATCAAATCTGCGTAACATAAAAAAACCCTCATTATACTTGTAAATTATAAATCTAATTTCACCTTATCGTGTTTGTGTTTCATTTTATCAAGATCATGCATCTGTTTCTTTAAGTTTTCAGCCAATCTTTTATATTCTTCTTTTCTTTGTGTCATTTGTTTTAAATCCTCCTATAAAAAAAATACATAAAGAGTTTTATATCGGAATGGAATGTTGTTTAAAGTCTCGTCAACAACAATACTTCACTCATTTTTTGACTGACATGTTTTCATTTCTATCATTATATGTGAAATGCAGTGAAAGTTTTCTACATGGCTTTTTTTTTTGACTCATCTGAACTTTTAGGAGAGAGAGAGAGAGAGAGAGAGAAAGAGAGAGAGAGAGAGAGAGAGAGATTCTGGGATTAACACATGGTTCAATTTTTATTTCAATAATTCGTTTGCACGTAGGGGTCTTTAGCAGTGGGAGGAAACTGGAGGACCTGGAGAAAACCCACGAGGTTAACTCAATAACAGACCTTATGATACAGCGTGCATGTGCTAACCATACAGCTATTCCCCCCCCCCCCCTGAACTTTTAGGAACACTTTCTTTGTCAACCTCTCACATGCAAGATCCAGACTTGCTAAATACTAATGGTAATTCAAAGGTACAAAAAGACAGGTGTCTAAAAATTGGCAGTTTTCTTTGAAAACGATAAAATTATATATCAATAATTTAAATTTCTATTTTTAAAAAAAAACAAACAAACAACAGTAGAATCTGCATTAAGCAGCCACCCAAGGGAATTTTCACAACTGACCGCTTAACGGGAGTGGCCTCTTAATAAAATCTCGTTGCTTTTTGTGCCGACATAAATTAAATATTACGCTTGGATGCATTGGAAGCGGTAAATTTGGCCGTCCCTGAATCTTGCGCCGAACGAAAATTCTTTACTCAAATCTCGGACATAACTTAACGGGAGTGGCCTCTTAATAAAATCTAGTTGCTTTTTGTGCCGACATAAATTAAATATTACGCTTGGATGCATTGGAAGCGGTAAATTTGGCCGTCGCTGAATCTTGCGCCGAACGAAAATTCTTTACTCAAATCTCGGACATAACTTCTGTAAACTTGTCATTTTGTACCAACCTTCGATACTACTGTCTACCATTGTGATGCATTCGATAATATTTATCCATTTTTGTGAAGAAAATCGATGAATTCATTTTATTTTATCAAAAAAGCACATGAATAAAAAACATCGCTAATTTTATCACCTATTTACAGGGGGTGTAACTCTGTATGTAATGTTATAGGAGGCGCTAAGAGAGATACTAGATGATCGTGACAAAACTCGGTACTTTTATTTTATTCAATCAGTATCAAATAATGTGTCGTTACGCGTGAAAACAATGATCAGGTTAGTCGTTTAATAAAACAAAAGATTAATTAACAGATAATCCCGGGTTGATTGTTATTTTTACATTTCTTTTTACCTGATCAGTGGGGGTCCAGTTAATTAACTACTACTCACGGGATTAGCGGGGGTGTTACAAAGAACGACAAGATGGTATCATTCAACAATGGCCGTTGAATGGGCGATGTTTTGTTGAATTTATTAGTAAAATAGTGACCGCTGGCCGCATTAGAGGAGTGACCGTTGAATAAAGAGATGAAACAACAGAATTTCTACGGGGGGAATTTATCGTGACCGCTTAGAAGGAGATGTCGCTGAATAGGAGTGGCTGCTCATACAGATTCTACTGCAAATAATATTTAACATTCCTTTTAAGATTATATAATTTTTTTTTCTCTCTATTTTGTTGACATTTTACCTGTAGCATTTTAATCAAGACAGCATCGTGAGATTGTGTTTTCTCTTCTCTAATATTTTCTTTATCTTCTGATGACTGGAAATAGAAAATATGGATAAAATCTGAAATCATGTTTCCTGATATGTACGGTTGTGATTTCTACGTATTGTGGCTTTTCCGTAGATTTGTTGTGTGTGATTGTGTGCAGTGCAGTCCCCCTGCACTTACTATTAGAGGTCATATAGGCTATGCCTTTTCTTCAATACCTTTCAATTTTGTTGAAAGAATTACATGTCATACTTTTGAACATCATTTATAAATATTGATTTCAAACTTGATATTTCAAAATTTAAACTGCCATACCTCATTATCTTCTGAGTAGTTTTGTGTTGCCATGGCTACTTGTCCTAGTGCTGATTGTAAACGTTTTTCAACAACTTCTTTAGGAACAACTGTGTCTTGATTCTGAAAATAATTGATAGATTAAGATTATTTATACATAGAGAGAGAGAGAGAGAAATGGGGTTTAACGTTCCACTCGACACAAACTAGGTCATTTTGGGACTAACATATTGTTTAATTCTATTTCAATAATTCGCTTGCACATAGGGGTCTTTAGCAGTGGGAGGAAACCAGAGGACCTACAGAAAACCCACAAGGTTATTTATAATATATAAGATTATATATAAGGTTATTACAGATCAATTTGCCATGATTTTAGTCATTAAGTAAGGTCCCTTTAAGGTAATCAGAAGGGGTATCTCTGGATGGTCAGCATTAACCAAGTATTGTTGTGTACATGTTTATATTGTCTTGTTATATTTTATAATTTATCATTACTTGATAGTGATAAGCAGGAATTGTGACCTGTATATTCCACTTCAATTACTAAATGCCATTGAAACAATCGGTCATATCTCAAAATATTCTAATAAGAGAGGTTTTCTCAAATCAAACTTTTTTCTTTTTAACCAATTCAAAGACGTTGTGTCATTTTAAGTCACCAAGGAGTTCTCACCTGATTGTCAGCTTCAAGGATCATTTCTGCTTTTTTCTGTTGAAGAGTAGCTTCTTCCTTTAATACTGTAACCTGAGCAACAAGAGCCGAGTTTTCTGCAGAAACATCCTCAAAAACAGTCTGAATAATAAATTGGAATAAAGCTTTTATGAATAATTACAGAAATATAATAAACTAGAAGATCTCGCACTTTCTCTACTGTTAGAAGCACATTACTGAAATTAAATGAAAAATAACATGGAGTTTAATGTCCTATTTTTCTGCAATGCCAGATTAAGATCCACAGTTCCCCATATAAATGCAATTCAAAATGTAAACAATAATAAACTATCAATAATCCATCAAGCCCAGGATTAGAGTTTGTCTGGGATTTTATACACATCATTATTAATTGCAATAAAACAGGCAACAGTTTGAAAAGACAAAAACAATGAAAAATTAATAGAAAGTTCTTAATTGAGCAGTCTATCAAGCAACTCCTTAACGTGTTCCTGAAATTTTCCCTGGTTCCAGCAGAATAAATTCCTGATATTTTTGCAAGTAAATCAAAGCAAATTACCTCTAATTGAATGTTTTCGTCAGATTTCCGTTCGAGTTCTTTCTCTAACAGCGTAACTTTATCTTCAAAATCTCCTTCATTTTGTTTCAGTCTATTTATTTCAGACTGAAAAAAAAAGAATAAAATTAACAATAAAATCAAATCCAAAATAAATGTTATTAAAGTTGAATAATAGCATACCGAGAGATTTGGCACAATGGTTGCAGAGTCGGATTTGTGACCAAATGGTTGCATTTTTCTTCTTCTTCTTCCACTTCCACTGAGGGTGATATCACAGATAAGTTGTCTTATTTTATTATACTTATTGCATGCCAAGGGAACTTTCCTGTGGGAGGAAACCGGAGAAAACCCGCAAGGTTGGATAGGTGACTATACTCCTTGTCAAGTACAAACGGGAAATCGAAACCACGCCACTTGACTCGATGATAGACCTTATGATGCAACGCGCAAGTGTTAACCATTCATCTCCCACCCCCACCTTTCCCATCTATCCTTGAACCAGGGTAGTAATTGTTTCGGGCTTACAGCATAACCCTTCGTACTGTGGATAAAGCACAGCATAAAAATACATATTTTATACAAAATAACATGAGACTAAGACCTAGCCGGCTTAAAGCAAAATATTTTGAATAAGAATTAACTGAACTTTTTGAAAACCAGTATTGTTTGATCCATCTCTAATTTTACATAAAACTGAATCTAAAAACTGATATTGTAACAGTAAACTCAAATCAACATAAATAGAAAACATTAATATATAAACTTGTAAATTAACTGACCTGTAATCGTGTGTTTTGTTGTGTTAATTCTTGTATCTGATGTTGAAATAATTTGATTTTATCGTCTAGCTGTTTTTTATCAACTGTTAACTGTTCATTCACACCCTATATTATAAAGACAAATTCTGAATGAATCATATCAAGAACTTTAAACTCAGCACGGATATTGCCATATTGACAAAGTTAACAGTTAACATGATATAGGACATCTTTATTATTTTATCTAATTAATGTTTATTTACTTTCAGTCTATAATTGATAACACATTAAAGATTTGATTGTTATTGTAAGCAATATCTCTTAAATTTATTAGACATCTAAACAAGAGAGAGAGAAATGGTGCTGAATGTTCACTGAACACAAACTAGGTCAATGTCAAGACAATTTCATTTCAATAATTCACTTGAGCATGAGGTCTTCACCTGCAGAGGGAAACAGAAGATCGGAAGAAAACTCAAGAGGTTGGGAAGGAGATCCTTTTCCTTGTCACATACAAGCTATGGTTGAAACCAAGCCACATGATTCAATGACAGACCTTATAATCTAAAGCACACATGTATATGGGGGAATCTATTACCTGTAATTGAGTGTTAGAATCTACTACCTGTAATTGTGTGTTAGAATCTATTAGATGTAATTGTGTGTTAAAATCTATTAAATTTAATTGTGTGTTAGAATCTATTAGATGTAAGTGTGTGTTAGAATCTATTACCTGTAATTGTGTGCTATGTTCTCTAGATTCTTGTAATTCATGTTCTAGCTGTTTCTTATCATTTGATAACTCTTCACAAACACCCTAAAAAAAATATAATAAATAAAAACATTTTTTACATCGTACAAACAAGCGTAGCGATCCCTATATCTCAAATGAGCCCCAATCTTTACATGGTGTAAAAATAATATATTATGGCTAATTAGAGCTTATTGTAGCCGAAAATCTCCAACATTTTTTTCAAATAACCCCACTTAGATGGCAACCAACACAGTGTTTACCTAAATGTAACAAATTTATAGAAAGATCAAAAAAGGGTTACTGTTTGAGGGTGTTTTATCTAAAGAAGCTTTAACATTTTGAATTTCTGATTAATGAAGAAAAATTATTTTGACTGACACAAGCTTATTGCCACAATAAATAAGTATCTACTTTAGCTTGTGAAGATGATCAATTTATTAGCTGACCCCTGTATATGAATACATAAACTAACTTTCATCTCCAAATTCCTCACCCTTCTGTTTCAAAACAGCAAAAATTGAGGTACTCAGAAATAGTCCAATAATAGGATTGATTGATAAATTCTTTAAGATATCAGGGAGAAAGAAAAATGGGGTTTAATGTCCACTTGACACAAACTAGGTCATTTCAATAATTCGCTTGTGCATAGGGGTCTTTAGCAGTGGGAGGAAACTGGAGGACCCGGAGAAAACCCTACTCCTTGTCACGTACAACTGGGGAATTAAATTCACACCAGTTGACTCAATGACAGACCTTCGATAAGACAAACCTGTGGACAAACTACACAGACATTGCAAGTAATAAACAAATACTAAGTAAGCAGTAGGAAAACACCTCCAATTACTTTTAAACGATAAATGTTATTTTTTATTTGTTTTATATTACATAAGTTTTCCACCATAAGAAAACAGAAAATGAATAGGGTTTAACATCCTACTGTTCTGTTAAGACTGGGCTAATGAAGATGGGCATACGCAATACAAGGTGCTATAAAGGGAAATTTTCTAACTGCCAAGGGTTCTTTTATGTGTACGCCAATGTGTAAATGGGACTTCGGTTTTTCATCTCATTTGAACAACTATACGTTATCCCTTTCCATGCCCTCTGTCCTGCAACAATGACAAAGGGGAACCACAACGGGGATAATCCCCGATGAACTTATTCGTCCAGCGCAAGGATCGAACACATGATGTCTTACTCACTGAGCCACCATGGCTCCAGTAAGAAAAGAGACTTGAGAATCCTATTGAAACTTTGTTCATACCTTTAACTGAACATCTTCATCAGACAATCTTTCTATTTCTTTTTCCAGCAGTGTTATTTTATCTTCAAAATCTTCTTCATTCTGTCTGAATCTATTAATTTCCATCTAAAAAAGAGTAAATAAAAATATAGTATTACAGATCAACTTCTAGACAATGATGAGAGATTTTTAACATTAACCATTTTCTGAATAAATACAGAAATTATATAGTTTCATTTTCTTTCAGAACTCCATGTTCGGACACGTTGGTATTGACGTTGTATTACGCCCCACAGAGGTTATAGAGTACTTTAGTATCCGTCTCGCCTATGACAAAGATTCTAAAAATAATTTTCTATGTACAAACCTTTAAGCGTGTATTCTGTTCCATTGAATCTGTAATTTGGTCTTCTAGTTGTTTCTTGTCATCAGATAAATGTTCATTCATACTCTATAACAAATAGAATTTGAATTTAGGACTAAAAATTTACTTAATACAACTGCTTCATTCGAAGATACATGAATATGTATAATATAAATACAGTCGAACATGACAATGAATCTTTTTAAACATTTACCTACAGCTATTTGCATATAATTTATCGTGAATAAAAGGCGTATTTACTAAAGTGATTTAATAATACTGATATAAATTTACATAATTTGATTAAGTTTGTGCCTTGAACATTAAATAAATCTTTCATTTTATAGGTTGGGGGAGACCTGTCATAAAGTTAAATATAAAGCCCTTTCCTTAAAGATACATTATGGGAGATTAGATAAATAGCTGGTAGTTCTCACTATAATAGTTAAAAACTAGATAATGTAAAGGGAATTTGCTGAAAATTTCAATCAAATTGATCCACCCTGAACCGAATATTTAGCGATTGAATTTTTGGGCATAGCCTTGATCATTATTACTAAAGTCGACCCAATAAAAAACATAGTCTCGATTATCCATTTCATGATTTAATCGGATGAGCAAATCGGATCTAATCCAGGCTAGTGATGACATCAAGATTTGATTATGATCTGGATAAGTAAATTAATGTCTAATAAGTTAGACAACAAGAAAGACCTGCAATAGGCAAATTTACCTCTTGCATAATGTATGTTTAAGAAAAAAGGAAATTTGAATATATAGCGATATTTGTCATCAACTTCATTATCATTATGGTACTGGCTTATAATAACAACCAGTAGATTCCCGATTTGATTCAGGTGTTTTTTTCAGGGTTTCTTTGACAGCGATCAATGAGGACCAGACAAACCTTATGATCTAAAGTGCATGCATTAAACCATTAGACCACCCACCCCCTTATGTGGTAAAGAATATGAATATACCTCTAAGTGAACAATATCATTAATCTGTTCCTGTAATTGTTCAACTTTCTCCTTTAAACAGACAATCTGCATATCCAAAACAGATTTTTCTTCTTTAAAACTTTCAATTAAAGCCTAGAGATAGAAATCCAAAAACCCATGCAAAATGTGCAAAGAAGAATAAAAGAAAAATTTCAAAATTTATTAAATTGTTATATATTTTGGTTGCATTCAAGAAACTAATTTTATGTGCATTAGAGAATTTTTGAATTGTGAAAAAGTAAAACTCAAATTTTGGAATATATAAGAAGTAGGTTATAATATTTTCTTTTTTGGACTGAATAAAGAGAAATTTGGGTTTAACGTCCACTCCAACACTAAATAGGTCATTTTGGGACTAACATATGGGTTCAATTTCATTCAGTAATTTGCTTTGAATCTTTAGCACTGGGAGGAAATGAAATGGGGTTTAAAATCCTACTGTTCTGCTTCGTACTGGGCTAATGAAGACGGAGCAGTGGGAGGAAACCCGGAGAAAGGCCATGAGGTTGGACAGGCAACGCTACTTCTCGTCACAAATACAAGCAATAAATCGAAACCACGCCACTTGACTCAATCACAGATCTTACGATTTTAACTTTTTGTCTGAAAAGTTCTAACAGCAGTCTTTAAAACTTTGTTTGTAATTACCTGTTCTTTCAATTCTGATTGGCTAAGAGCCTCAAGATGTTCAGATTTTACGACAGATAATGTTGTATCATTCTCGACATTCATTTCATCGATACGTCTTTCCAAATCATATTTCGTGGTTTTCAATTCTTCTACCTTTTTCTCTAGTTTACATTTATTAGAAAGTAGTTCCTCAACTTTTGTTTCTAAATCAATCTTAGCAGATGTGACCTGTTCAAGTTTTTGTTGCAAACTAGATTTCGTTGAAGATAATTCTGATTCATAATTATTAACTACAATATTTAACTCCTGTCTTTCAGTCACAAGCTGAAAATTTACAATTAAAAGATGAAAAAGAATTAGAAAAATCTAAAGTGAATCAAAATTAGAAAAAGGAAGGAAAAGGAGAACAAAAACTACCCTTAACCAATAATCAAAGATAGATAAGGGTTTGTCAGGTCCCTTAAAACGTCTACCAGCAGTAAAATAATCTATGTTGACTCTAAAATTATTGTCAACAAATACTGCTGGGCAAGTTCTAAAAAATGCCCTTTTTATTGGCTTAGAAATACAACAACTAGATGAAAAGATACACAAGACAATTCTCATTCCGAAGAAGCAAAAAAGTGAAATTCATAAAATATGCCCGATACGACATTTTGACACCCCACCGACAATGTGCTTTAAGTGAAAATTTACTTATGCCAAATAGTCAGCATATCTACTTGCTTCAATCCAAATTACATTTACCTTTTTCTTATCTTCCTGGAGTATGGCTACAGATGAGTCTAATTCTTCCATCTTAGCCAATTGTTCTTCCTTTTTGGCAACCTCTTGTTGTAAAAATAGAATTTCTTCCTCACTGATACGATTCCTGGTTTCAAGAGCATCCTGTTCTTCTTCGTATGTTTTCTTTAATTTCTCCATATGTTGAGTAAATTCTCCCTGAAATTATAGGTTTTAAATAGATGTAATCAAAACTTTAATTTCTCCATATGTTGAGTAAATTCTCCCTGAAATTATATGTTTTATATTTAATTTATGTAATCAAAACTTTAATTTCTCCATGTGTTCAGTAAATTCTCCCTGAAATTATAGGTTTTAAATTCCAAACTTAAATTTCTCCATAAGTTGAGTATATTTTCCTTGAAATCATACAGTATGCAGCATATGACTTTTGTTTAAGCATAAAAAGATGGCACAAAAGTTAATATATTGTTAATTTCTCTACACACGAGTCAGAAGTCGCAAGTATTTTACAATATGAACGTAAAATGTTATGATAGGCTAAAATGATATAACATGAAAGGTATAAGTTTAGATTTGACCAATAAACCAAACTAATTTTATTTTATATTTTTATCCTACATCAACGATTTTGTTCATATATCATAAACCATTTTGCTATTACAGGTCACATACATGTTGACTGTAATTTCCCTGAAATATGCTTTATTTTGATGTAACTAAAAACTCTGCCGCATGTCACTAGGCACAAAAAAGATGGCCTAAAAGTACACATATTGTTCAACTTGAGAAGTTTTCCTTTTTGTTATGAAGTGTGAGAAATTTGATCAAATTCAGGTATTTTATGATATGCCCAGCCAGTTATTGAATCATGGACTGTAAATATAATTTCTCACATGAGAGATAAAAGTTAACATCCACTCACTAGCATGACGGGTTATTACAGAAATAAAATATATAATTTTCCATTTCGTTATTTCACTAGTCTGCAGTGGTTTATATACAATCTGATTAAAACACAGATCCTATTTCGTTCCGTTTTTTATAGTTCAAAATTTCATTTTACTTGTCTTTACTACACTAGGATCTGGAAGAGTTGTTATATAACCCGCATTCTGGATGAAGTGAAGGATAAGCCAATGAAACGGTCTGTTACAGCAAATATTTGGCGTGAGATCTGCAGAACTGTGGGAAAACTACTAGAAACGTCAACGCTGACTGATCAATCAATGTCTGATGTCATGAGTTCAAAAGCCGCTTGTATGACACCTGATGCGACCTTCCACTACAACCGGTCAGATTTTTATGTAGTGTAGGCCATCGAAAGTATAAAAAAATGAAACAAAATATAGATCTGTATTCTAATCAGATTGGTTTATATATGACTTGAATAATTTGCATACATTTTAAACTATACATTGTCTTCACAAATAACCGTTTTGCTTTATTTCATATCCTAAGGGAACTACACTGGTTTTCTGAACACAACCTTCCCTGCATACCGCAATGGAGTAACTTTTTCTGGGTGATAAGAATCCAAACCCCTGTCACATCTAAGTAATTTCAATGTAACAGTCCTAATTTATAAACTTTTATCACCCCGAACCCCCCCTCCTCTTTCTTCAAATGAAAACCGCTTCAAGATGCCTTTTAATATCGCTAGTTTACTATGACAGTCATTCAGCAATACTGAGGTAGCAATAATTTTTACGACAATATCTGTGACCAGCTGCATGATTTTACAATCTTGGGTGATATAGTAAGAGGAAGTCAGGCGCCATTACAGAGTTTTCAAGCAAATCAATTATTTGACTGTGGTTTTAAAGTCAACAACAATCCCTTTAGTTTTAATAACTTTGCTTATGTTATAGAATATCGGTTGCTGAAAAATGTAGTCTTCAATTGAAAGCAAATGGAACTGCAGTTTCGTAAATTCAGCTGATATCAGACTGAAATTACTTAAACATAGATCTGACTTCGGATCCAATTCCAGGATGAATGGTAGGCTCATGGGTCACCTTTTCAAATAGATTGTTTTTGCAGCATTCAATTTTCAGACAATAAATATGTTTTTTTCATGCTTTGGGGAAAAAAAACTACTACATGTATTTATTACAAATATTTTATTAGACAGATATAAATAGGTTTTATGTATGTACAAATAATACAATATCAGTTTTCATTTCTATTCAGCACTTTATAAATAAATACTATGTACAGCCAAGCTTCTAAAATACTATGTACAGTACAGTCAAGCTTCTTAAATACAATACACAGTCAAGCTTCTTAGATACAATGTACCAATTTACATATATAAACATAGACTTGAGAACAATTTTAATAGCAAGATTCCTCATTTATGTCTCTGGTGAGAATATTCCAATTTAAGGATGCCAAAGTGAATTAGTTTGATATTTGATATAAAGAGACATTCAGGAATACTTGTTGCATTGTGTATTATTAGATACTGGTGGAATCTATACAATTGTTTGTCTATTTAAATCTGATGGAATAACTTAGAGGATGGAAAAATGATGAACTGGAATACTCATGTCTTTATAATTTCCACTAAGTGATGAAATACTTGAATGGTCAAAGTTTGGTCAACACTTTTTTTTTTAAAGGGAGCTGCAATACTCACACAGTAGGATTACAGTTTACATGATTTTATATGGTATTGGAATTCTTAAATGGTGGAATTTTGGTCTATTCTTTTTATGAAGGGAGCTGCAATACTTACAAGGCGGCATTACATGGTTTTATTATGGTGCTGGAATGCTCGAACGTCTAAATGGTTTTTATAAGTTAGTGGAATTGAGGTCTTGTCATATTGTTAGGGTGCTGAATATATCCATTTGCAATTTAAGTCAACAAAAATATTTAGAAGGAAATGGAATCTTGGTATTTCACAGTACACAAATTTTAAAAGAACTGGAATACTTGTTTTAATATGGTGCTGGCATACTTGGATGAAGGAGGCAACACAGATTTCAATGAATCAAAATTCACAAACTTCTGCTGACACAACTTGAATCAGGGCACTGACTTGGCTATTGGTTATTCTGCTCCTAACAGGTTGGTTATCCATCTATTTAAAATATCATCTTCAGGAGTATCTGGTCCTTCCATTAGGAAATCAGTCGTGTATGATCTTCAAATAACACCAGCGTAACGAGCACGATCATCCAAAATGACGTCGATAAACACGCTTTTCACTTTTTAAAACATGACAAAATATGCATACCTCAATTTCTTCACGGACAGATTTGGAAAGACTTTCTTCCAATGTTTCTTTTTCAAGAGTGTGTGTGTCCAGTAGTTGTTGTCGTTCCTCATCCATTCTTGTTTTTAAGTGGTCCATATCCTGTTTCAATGCTTCAATCTGTTTCTCGAACTTTTCAATAATTTCACATTTCTTTGCTTCAAACTCAGCATCTTTAAAAATACAAGACAATTGTTATTTTTATATGATTTAGTAATATCAGAACAATTGGTCTTTAATAAGATTGGTTTTGACCCATGAATAAGATTGGTTTTGTTGGTTTTGATCTGTGAATAAGATTGGTTTTGACCTGTGAATAAGATTGGTTTTGACCCATGAATAAGATTGGTTTGGACACATGAATAAGATTGGTTTTAACCCATGAATAAGATTGGTTTTGACCCATGAATAAGATTGGTTTTGACCTGAGAATAAGATTGGTTTTGACCTGAGAATAAGATTGGTTTTGAAATGTAAGATCGGTTTTGACCCGTAAGATTGGTTTTAACCCATGAAATGAAATGAATTGGGGTTTAACGTCCTACTGTTCTGCTCCTAACCTGGGCACTACGGCCTACTCTTATATCGAATTCCAACTGCCAAAGGATCTTTTACGTGCATGCCAATGTGTACACGGGGCCTCGGTTTTTCGTCCCATTCGAATGACTAGACAGCTGTCCTTGTCAGGCCCTCTATCCTGCATCACTGACAAGGGGAAACCATGCTGGAAAGGTTTTAACCCATGAATAAGATTGGTTTTGACCTGTGAATTAGATTGGTTTTAACCCATGAATAAGATTGGTTTTAACCCATGAATAAGATTGGTTTTGACCAGTTAATAAGATTAGTTTTGACTCGTGAATAGGGTTACGCTTTGATTTAATAGTTTCTTGGGAAATTTGCTGGAATTGATTTGTATTATGATTTTTGGTTCTATTTCGGTCAAGAATTACATCAACATCTCAATGATAGAACTACACAGGAATAGAAAGACAATTATTATACTATTACAACTGTAATCAGTAGGCTGGAAGAGCAAGACAATGAATGTACTTACATAATTGAGATCTTTCGTCATCCAGTAATGACATTTGTCTATTATCATTCTGTTGCATGTGTTCTAACATGGCTGATCTATCAACTATTAGTTCCTCCTCTTTTTGTTGTGATAATAAACCATAAAAATCGTCTTTTAATTTACCTTTTAAACATTCAACACCCTGAAATAATATCAGTTTAAATGTATATGTTGTTTCATTTGAAAGTTAGAAATCGATAAAAAAAAAGAATTTCTTTAAAATGAAATGTCCTACTGCAACGACTGGGCAAATGAAGAAGAGCATCCGCCATATCGTGTGCTATGGCCTACTCTAATATTGAATTCCAACAGCCAGCAGGGCTCGAATTAGCGGACGATGTGGGCGAAATAGTTGCCCAACCCATTGATGACTTCGCCCTAAAAGGCAATAGGGTGAAGTTGAAGTCGCCCTCACTTCGCCGTACATTTGTGCATGGGCGAAGTAGGTAATAGGCATCGATATCAAAGGTAAACAAAGCATTTTCTAAACAACACAACACGTGTTCGCATTGTGAGCTTCGAAAGGAAAACTGAAAATTAAACAAGTTGTGAAAAGCAAAACATGTATTAATATTTTGTTTTTTGACTTTCTCTGTGTTGGCTGTGACAATGTTTAATAGTTTCAATGATAAACATTGTATTTGATGTCAACAGGAAATACAATTCTTTAAAAAAAGCGAAGGAATCGAATCATAAATCTCCGTTACAACCTCTGGCTTCGTCCAGAAATAACATCCAATCAAAAGCTGCGATGGCCAATATGGCGGCGGATACGATAATTTTCATGTATTTCTGTCTAAGAATAGACAAAGTACTGAATTGGTCCTCTTTCTTTGAAATAATTTAATAATAAAAAGAATAATAAACATAAAACTTGTTATTGAAAGGTGACGAAAGGTGTACATTGTTGTGTCAACATGGTACAGTCAATAAAGAACAACATGTGTGACGAGTGAAAATAGCATTGATGGATGGAGATATTAAAACAATTGTTATCAGAATGATTACAACATGTATTTAGAATGTGTTGATAGATATAATGCCGAGTTGATAATTAAATGTACGTCAATATTATTAGTTCCACTAATCTAAACACATAAACGTAAAACAAAGAAGGTAAGTGGGTGGTGTGTCAAAACAATAATTTCATACATTGTCGTACTACGTAACAATATGACTATCCTATTAAGAAAGGTGCTAAAACAATCACACAACAGACCCAGGACTAGTAATTAAATGTATTTAGGCATGAAAGGGTTCATAAATATTGATGTATTTGATAGAGGGGTATCACAAATCTTATTTGTATTGCTAAAGTCAAGTCTGTCTTAGTACTAGTATATGTAATTTATTATCACAGTAATTTTGATACCAGTAAGAGTATGATGACATACTGAAATAAATATATGTGTGCAGCTAAACGATGTTTGTTATTCATTTAGCATATTGACTGTGTAACCACTTGGTAAGATTGGTTGCAACAATGCATGAAATATGACCTCTCCTTCAAGTCTCCCTATGTCTCCCTCACTTCTCCCTATTCTGTCTGTAGGAAGAAGTCACTTCTCCCTAAAATTTGTCTCTAGTTTGAGCCCTGACAGCCAGGGGATATTTTACATGCATGCCAATGTGTATCTGGGACCTTGTCTTTTTGTCCCATCCAAATGACTATACAAATGTCTTTTAGAAGGTCATGACACTTTTAAAATAGTATCTCACTCAAGACATAACTAAACCACTACTTAGCTAGGATATTACAAACTAAACCATTACTTATGGAGGCAGGATATTACAAACTAAACCATTACTTATGGAAGCAGGATATTACAAACTAAACCATTACTTATGGAGGCAGGATATTACAAATTCACATCTAAAAGTACTAACCCCACAAAGCATATTTTCGTATTCCATAATTTCTCGTTTATGACTCATTTCAACTTGTTTCAATTCGAGTCTGTGTCGTTCTTTCAGATCTTGACGTTCTTGATCAAACTGGAGAGATAACTCTTCCTCTTGTAGTTTCATTTTTAAATCAACTTCAGTTATTTTTCGTTTTAAACTTTGTATTGTAATTTGTTGATCTCGGTTGGTGTCCTCTAGTTTGGTTCGTTCTGTATTAAATTCGTTTTTCAGTTCGATCATCTTATGTGTTACATCACGATCAAATTCCTCTTTTAACCTACATTACAAAAACAGCATTAAATAATTATGAATCCTAATGGAACTTCTATGTATAATTATCTTCAAATGCTAACTTCGCATTATTGCTCTAGGAAGGAGAGAGAGGGAGAGAGAGGGAGAGAGAGAGAAAGTGAGAGAGAGAGGAGTTTAAGGTCCACTCCACGCAATCTAGGTCATTTCGGGACTAACATATGGTTTAATTTTATTTCAATAATTGGCTTGCTTCTAGGGGTGGGAGGAAACCGGAGGACCCAGAGAAAACACACAAGGTTAGACAGACGACCCTACTCCCTGTCACGTACAACCTTGAATCGAAACCATGCCATTTGACTCAATGACTGACCTTATGATACAGCGTGCATGCACTAACCATTATGATATATATGATATATATACTATTCTTCGGGAATGTAAAACACAGCAAACATTTATATGTAGAGAGAGAAATGGAGTTCAACATCCAATTGACACAAACTAGGTCATTTCGGGACTAACATATGGTTCAATTTTATTTCAATAATTTGTTGGCACGTAGGAGTTTTTAGCTGTACACGCATTATTTCACTGCTTCTGAAACTTTAACGTCTGGACAAGATATGTAAATATACTATACCTTTCTGTTAATTTCCTTCTTTCTTCACTAGCATTGTGTTCCAGATGATTTTTCTCAGATTCGTATTTTAGCACTAAATCTTGTTTTTCCATGGCAAATGACGTCTGCAATTCTTTCTGCATCTCAGCTGATAAAGCGTCTTTGCTACGATTAAAGGCCTCATGCTCTTTGGCCTGCAATAAAACATAAATATGTGTAAACGAAGAAAATAGATATCACCTAATCCTTAAAATATTGTACTTTGGATAATTTATAAAAGTTAAAAAGATTAAGACAATCTTCCATTTGTGAAAATTCTTCTACCTTGGCAAATATATAAAACTAAATGAAATGGGGTTTAATGTCCTACTGTTCTGCTTCGACTGGTCTAATGAAGACAGATATATGCCATAGAGTGTACTATGAGGAAAATTTTGCCCAGATAGCAACACTATGGCCTACTCTTATGTGAAATTCCAACTGCCAAAGGATCTTATATGTACATGCCAATGTATACACAGGACCTCGGTTTTGTCAGGCCCTCTGTCCTGCACCACTGTCAAGGGGAAACCACACCAGAAAATCACAATAAAATTCAAATTTATAAAACATTAGAATCCATAATAGTAAATGCATGTAACACATGTTAGCATTTGTTAAAAATTCACTAAGACGGTGTTAAAGTTTATACCTTTGCTTCTTCAACGTTTCGTAACAATTGTTCTTTTTCATGTAAATGTTGTTCCTCTAATTGCGCTATTTCTAATCTGTACGCATGTTCTATTTCTTTCTTTTCCCGTTCTAAATATTCTCTATTTTCACGAAGTTCTTTCTGTAGATTGGCTACTTTCTTCTGACTTCCTCCAGCTGCAAAATATACAATAACTAAATCAAAACCTTTATTCAAATTACATCCAAATGGGATACACGAAGCCTAATTTTCGAGACACCATGCACCACTGAAAAAGAGGAACTTTCTCATCCACAACCATGACTCCCTTTCCAGTTATACCCTTAAACGAGTACGTAAAAAATAATTTTGAATTTAATTAATCTTTAAATAAAGGAAAATGGTTGCCAATAAAAACAGACCTACTGTTTATTTAAGTTTAAGTATTATAATCCTTATAAGAAATATAAAGATTATAATATCATTATTTACTTGATAACAATATCTGTAAGTGTATCGAAACGTAGCATGTTAATAAATTCAGAAGTAGTATATCCAAATAAGTGTTTTTAATAATTTTAAGTATTATTATAGATTAAAGCAAATGGCCATTAGTCATGGTTAAATCTAATCACAATGCTTCCAGTTTATATTGTATGAAATTTATTTATAAATATTTTACCAAATTCATCTGGTGATGGTAGATCAGTAAACGTAGCAATTGGTTTATTGATTGAATCAAACTCATCTTCTTCTATCTCATTTTCTATAAGTAAAACAACCCAACATTAATAAACATCACGATCTATTATTATGCAGCACAAACAAACAAAGAGTTAGATGTTGATGAAGAGTCTTGTTTTCATTAGCCCAGTCAGTGCAGAAAAGTAGGACGCTAAACCCAATTTAACATTCATTTCGTTACTGAAAAACATCAAACTCAACATTCAGCCTAGTTTGTCATTTAACTATCAAGAGCTAACAATCTCGACATTTAGCCTTCATTTCGTTACTGAAAAAGCGATCAAACTCAACATTCAGCCTAATTTGTCATTTAACTTTGAAGAGTTAACAATCTCGACATTTAGCCTTCATTTGTTAAATTATTATATTTGGTCTAGGATCTGGACCACAAGCACATCTTATCTGTTTCTTCTTCTTCTGTCAATTCCAGTACGATTGACATGAAACTTCGCATACTTGTTCCTTGGACAATTGTGCATAGAGTGGCTGATGCCTGTCATGTCAGCCGGCTCGGTTTCTGGTCTACCATATGTGCATACAAGTTTTGGTCCAAGATACTTGTTCCTTGGACAATTGTGCATAGAGTGGCTGATGCCTGTCATGTCAGCCGGCTCGGTTTCTGGTTTACCATATGTGCATACAAGTTTTGGTCCAAGATACAAAAGAACATATTGATGATTAATGTAGACTTACCAACTGACGATAAAGATGGCAGACTTGAGACGGATTTATTTTTACGATAACTTGTTTTACCATAATCTGATAATAATGAACCTTCTCGTATAGGTATACGAGTCGATTTACCACCAGTACTATGACGCTGACTTCTCTTGGATACTGCCATTTTGTGTCTCATAGTCTCTACTTCTGCGGTTAATTCATCATTTTTATCTTTTAAATTCTAGAAATTGAAAAATATTATTTCCAGAACAATTGGAATATTTCTGTATTGGCTGTATATGAGAGAGAGAGAGAGAGAGAGAGAGAGAGAGAGAGAGAGAGAGAGAGAGAGGGAGAGAGAGAGAGTTTAACTCCACTGACACAAACTAGGTCATTATGCGACTAACATATGGTTCAATTTTATTTCAATAATTTCTTTGAGCATAGGGGTCTTTGCCAGTGGGAGGAAACAGGAGTACCCAGTGAAAAATCCATGAGGTTGGACAGATAACCCTACGGGGGAATTGAAACCACGTCATTTATATAAGAATTTGTGCCAACAACAAGAGTTTATCTGAAAGTCAGAACTTCACAGCAGAGCAGACGATACCATTTATTAAATGGATGGAGAAGTAATGCAAGAAAATGAGTAAAGTTTTATACATACATCAATTTCAAACAGGGATCATTGAAATATATTTAAATTGGCAATTTAAAGGTGTTTTACAAATTTTTAATATTCCCTTTATAATGTTTTAAACAGGTATTTCTACATGATATAAAACATTTCATATTTTTAGAAAGCTATTTAATTTACCTTGTTTTCATTTTCAACTTTAATTAATTTATCTTTGGTAAATTTTTGGTCTTGCAAATTCTGTTTGTTTTCCAAGCGTTCATATTCTGATAACTATAAAATAAATATATAAATGTCATAACATCAATAAGAAACATAATCTTCTATTTTCTCTTTGTGCTGAAGTCAGTCTATCTGATTAAAACACAGATCCTATTTCGTTTCATTTTTTTTGGATCAAAATTTTGTTTTACTTGTTTTTACTACACTGGGATCTGGAAGAGTTGTTATCATTGATGTGTTCTGGATAGTGTTAGGGATTAGCCAATGAAACGGTCTGTTACAGGGAGCTTTATGCATGTTTTGCACAGAACTGTGGGTAATCAATGAGATACATCAATGCTGATTGGTTATTCAAATGTCTAACATCATAGGGTCAAAAGTCGCTCGTATGACCTCTGACGCGACCTATCGCTACAAGTTGTCAGATCTTCAAGTAGTGTAGGCCATCAAAAGTATAAAAAAACGAAACGAAATATAGATTTGTAATCTAATCAGGTTGGAAGTCAGTACTCTTCTTATAAAAACAATTCAGAAGCATGAAGTTGAAAAAACTCAGTAGATAAGAAACTAAATCAGATGTAGAAAAAAGGCATTATAAAAATCCTTTAATTTAAAATATACACATTTTATTTTCTTACTTTTTGTCTAAGTTCTCCAGTTACTTCTAGTTCTTTCTGTAATCTGTGGATCATTTTTTCAGCTTCTAACAATCTTCTCACTGATTCGGCTCTATCTTCTTCTAATCTTTGGATTTCCTAGATAAAATATAGACACAATTTACTTGCATGTGTATATTTGGACACAATGTATATTAGGATTCTATTATACTATGTGCATTGTGAGAGAGAGAGAGAAATGGGGTTTAACGTCCACTCGACACAAACTAGGCCATTTCGGGACTAACATATGGTTTAATTTTATTTCTATAATTCGCTTGCGCGTAGGGGTCTTTAGCAGTGGGAGGAAACCGGAGGACCCGGAGAAAACCCACGAGGTTGGACAGGCGACCCTATGTGCATTGTACTAATAGAAGACAAAAAGCAGATTAAATTCCATCAATTATTTTTTATGTCTTCAACAACCAGTACAAATTGTTGTTGGAAGACATTAAAAATAAGAGATGGAATTTAATCTGCTTTTTGTCTTCTATGAAATATCTACTATTATTTTCAATAAAATGTCTTTTTTTTTAAAATTTGAAAAAGCACAAAAAAACCTATCCCAAAACTGATCATTTTAAGTGGCATTAAATATTCGATACTCGATAGTATCACATAATAAGATCAGCAATCAATGTGACCACACGTTCCAAACATAGACATTAGCACATGTTCATGACTCTAAATCCTACTCAAATATTTACGTACAATCTGAGCTTGTTCAATTTGTTCTCGTAAAGCTGTTTCCTCCAGTCTGACAGCTTCCCGATGTTCTTTCAGTTGTTTATGTAAATGGGTAGAGACAGATGAATGGCTTTCACGTTCTTCATCTAATGACGACTGTAAACTTTTAATTTGATCTGTATACTTCTTCTCTATAGTTCTGTAAAAGATGACATTATAATTTCATTATTCATAGTACAAAAAAATCTTTAGCAGTGAACTTAGCAAATAAACAGGAAGTAATATTAGGTGTTCTATGCAGTATATACCCTGCCTCATGTAGGTGCATCATACCAATTACTAATTTTAGTTAAATGAAACAATGGTTTGTACTAAAATAACCCGAAGAAATGAAATGAAATAAAATGTGGTTTAACGTCCTACTGTTCTGCTCCAAACTGGGCTAATGAAGACGGATACCCCGAACATCAGTAATTTCTGTGGCAATATAGAAAACATGTCCTTTTGAAACAAATCTGTCTTCATTAGCCCAGTAGGAGTAGAACAGTAGGACGTTAAACCCCCATTTCATTTCATTTTGAAACAAATAAAAAGACTCATATAGTCTTTAGCATTTTTAAGCAAAAACGAACTTACAGCTTACATAATCTACAAAATAAATTTAACACTGGTATAAGCATATTGTCAGTCAACTAACCTACTATAGACTAATGTTGAAATTCTCAGACATAATAATATATACAACATTGTATATATACAGCAATATACATGTGATAGTTATTGTCTTTGAGCTTAATGCCACTTCCACCTAGGGTGATAACTCAGACTGATAGTATCACACTAATGTATTTAAACCTACTGAATACTAATGAAAGAGCTACTAATATATATATATATATATAAATATATAAAATGGGTTTATTCATTGGTTTATCTATCTATAAAGGATATAAGTAAAGTTTCCAGGGAAATAACCCTCACCCTGATACGATAACTATTTACCCCTTACATAACTCCACAATTAGAAGTTAACAATAGCAAGTATCCTAGATGCGAGTTTATAACTACTATAAAATAACTTGTATACAACCCACAGTAATGTTGATCATAACATAACAATTAAAATAGCCATAAAACTTTCCAGTTTCTGTACTTATGGCCTTTAAATGATTAGGCTAAATTGTTTAAGGATATACATAATAAAATATTTAAAAAAAATTTTATCAAGATAAAAGACAGGGGTTTAGATCCAACTGCTTCAGAGATAAGATAGTAAACCCATGGAGTAATCAACATACCAAATAATTAAAAAATAAATTAAAACTTTCACCAAGGATTTAGAATCTCAAGGGTTTTTTTTTAAGTTCTTGTGATATGACAGAAATAATTCCCAAGGAGCATCTTGGTTTATATCTTTTATGTCCAATATACTTACACATAGGTTCGTTTTATTTCAGCTATAACTTCACTATATTATAAACATAATTCATTAAATATTATTCCAATTATCCTTATGCTAATTTGTTAATGATTTGAATGAGTTTCGAAACAAGTAATTTAAAGGGGCATTATTTGAGATTAGATAAATAGCCGTCAGATCTTGTTATAATAGATATTGTAAATAGAATATGCTGAAAATTTCAGTCAAATTGCTCCACTCTGAGCCGGGATGTTGGTGATTGAATTTAAGGATTAGCCTCAATCATCAGTACTAAAGTGGTCAGTAAAAAAACAAGTCTTGATTTTCCATTTCGACGTTAAATCATCCGTCATAAAATGTATTCAAATCCAGTAAATATCGCAGGCTAGTGATGATATCGAGAGTTGATTATGGTCCTGATAAGTTAATATCTAATTAATAATTTAGATAACATTTCAGGCCTAATGAAAGACCGGCAACAGGCAGATGTATCTCTTGCATAATGTATATTTAATATATATAGTTATCATTAATTCCTACAACAGTGTTAAATATTTCACTTATTGGTGTTCAATTCTAGAGAGATACAAATAATTTAATTTTAGATGACTTACAATAATTTGATTTCTGCTGATTTTTCTAAGTTTGCGTGTCTTTCATCACTTTCTTTAGCCATGAGAGTATTTCTAGTATTAGCTTCTGTTAAATCTAATCGTAATTTATCTCTTTCACCACTTACATTATCTAATTCAACTCTGAAAAACAACATGAATCATCAAACATTTACAATGAAATGATGTTTAATGTTTTACTTTTCTGCAACATGCCGAGGAACATTTTGTGCTCTTATTTTATTTCGATCTCAAACTGTCAATGGAACTGAAATGAAATGGGGTTTAATGCCCTACTGTTCTGCTAATGAAGACAGGCATACGCCATAAAGTGTGCTATGAGGAAAATTTGGCAAAGACAGAGGCGCAACAGCCTACATTTATATCAACTTCTAGCTGACAAGGGACCTGGGTTTATCGTATCATCTGAATGATTATACACTGTGCCTTTTCAGGACCTCTGATGGACTTTCTCGGCCAATGCAAGGATCAAACACGGGACCTCCTGGTAAGTGAGTCAAAGTTTTGCCCGCTGATGCACCATGGCTCCCCTAAGCGACATCACTGCACTGTTCAATCACAATATCAACACAAACTGGGTTATTTCAGGACTAACATATGGTTCAAATTATCTATTTACGTGTAGATGTCTTTAGCTGTGGGAGGAAACCGGAGGACTCAGAGAAAACCCATGAGGTTAGACAGGCGACCCTACACCTCATCACGTACATGCTGGGAATAGAAACCATGCCACTTGACTAAATGACAGATCTTATGATCTAATAAAACAAACTAGATCTTTCCCTCTTTTGGCAAGTATCAAAACGAACAAAGATATACTGCGCTGTTTACTACCAATATTAGCTATTTGTTTGGGTTGATAAAATTGTGTATAAATCGTGATCATACCTGAGATAAAATCGTGATCATATTAGCTATTTGTTTGGGTTGATAAAATTGTGTATAAATCGTGATCATACCTGAGATAAAATTGTGTATAAATCGTGATCATACCTGAGATGTTTGATTTCTTGTTGATAAGTAGCTAATGCTGCCTGATATAATATATCCTGATTATTGTTAGCTAATAATTCACGTTCTAAATCAAACGATAACTCAGCTAAATTTACTCTTGAATCAACTTCAAATCCTAGAGTCTGTAATTAAAATATTAGCACAAATGTACTTCTTTGCTCATTTGGTGAGCTCATCAGAAATAATACTAATCTCTTTAAAACACAGATCCTATTTCGTTTTATTATATTATACAATAAATTTCATAAAAATATCTAATATAAATGAAATGAAATTGGGTTTAACATCATACTCTTCTGCACCAGCAAAATTTTTAATAAGACTGTTAAGACGAATCTTGTCAGAAGGTCTGGCCCTGAGTTCACAAAGCATTTTTAGACTTAATCAATGTTTATGAGAAATATCTTTGATCCAGAAACATAGTTTCTTATTGATGTATTTGATACATTAAAACAACAAAAGTTTGAAAAGGGTTATACTTTAGATAACATAAGGTGAACAATTTTGAGTAAATTCATCTGAGAATGCTTTGTGAACTCAGGGTTGGTTTAATTTTAACTTATATAATACCTACCATAAGAATATCTAAACCTTGAGTGATACCAACTCTTTCCCACAAATCTATAATATCAGATGGTTTGGCTGATCTGTAATAAAATACATTCAAACCAACATTAAACAATAAAAATCAAGATGGATTGAAAAATTATAGATCAGCTTTTAGTAAGATATTTCAATTCACTCTTTAACAATAAATAAGGAAGATGATATAAGATACTTCAATTTCATTTCAATAATTTGCTTGTGCATAGGGTCTTCAGCAGTAGGAGGAAACCGGAGGACCAAGAGAGAATATCCACGAGGTTGGACAGATGACCCTACTACATATCACGTACATGTACAAGCAAGGAATCAAAACCGCGCACTTGACACAATGACAGACATTATGGTTGCAGGCACATTAGGATTTTTTTTCTCTGTGTGCAATGCTAAAGAGCTCCCTTACTGCTATCACATACATACCCTGTATTATCAGGATCAATAGCTGAAAACAGACCAGCTGCTCCACCATCAGCTATAAAAGATGGACCCATACTCTGATCATCCTTATTAAATGTTGCTGCTCTCCGTACTTTCGTCATGGATTGCGGTACTCGAGATATTGGACTTAGATGTTGTTCTTTGTGGTCGGACAAATGATGTAGAAATCCACGGATAAATTCGTTAAAACTGACCTTTCCATCCTGGTCACCATCAAGGTTAACAAATATGGCATGAATTTCCTAGGGGAAAAAAGAAAACATTTAAAACAAATGAAATTTCCTGCACCGACTGGGTTAATGAAGACGGTGTATGCATTTCAAAACGTGTATTGATAGATTCAATGTGTCGTATAATACTGCTGCGGTTTGACTCAGTGCCAGGTATGTTGTTGCTTGTGCATGAAACTCAAGTGAAAAAGGATCAGTTAAATATCTAGATGGTTCCCTGTTTTAAAGCAGTCAATACATATTTTAAGATTTTGTTTTTGTTCTTTTCAAAATGCTTGAATAGAGATAGCGGAAGATACATAGGCTGTGTGAAACAACTTTCCTAATGACCGACTTCTTCCATACAGAACCAAGTCATTTCGAGTCAATTTTATTTCAATAATTCGCTAGCAGTGGGAGGAAACCAGAGGACCCAGAAAAAAACAATGAGCTTGGACAGGCGATCTTACTCATTGTAACGTACAACCAGGGAATCGAAACCACGGCAGTTGACTCAATGACAAGACCTTATGATACAGTACATGTTAACCATTTGGCCACCAACCCCCTCTACCATTGTTTCATACAAGAGGTAATTATGGATTAAGATCAAATTAAAATTTGAAGTACATACCTCATCTGTCATGCCTTTCATACCAATATGATTACAGACACGACTTAACTCATCTAGAGTTAAATATCCATCCTTTCCTACTCCCAGTTCTGTCCATATTTCCTGTAATCTATCCATACCTAATTCACTTGTTGATACATCCAGGGGACCTATAAGAAAAACAAAATTTAAAAAAAAAATTATTAGGTGCATCATTTTGGAAATAAAAAACGGGGTTCAAAAGCTGTGTTAAATTTAATTGGAAATTTTCTGGGGTTTTCACATTATAAGTGATAATATAATTTGATATCATTTGAAATTTAAATAAAAGTTACAGATGCCCTCCCGCACACTCACACACACACACACAGCCCTCCCCAAAAAACATCCCTTGATCTTGATATGTTCTATTAGATATCACAATTATTAATCATTTACATTTGTCAATTCAATTGTATTCTTCCATGCGTAACAACAGCATGCATATATGTAATTAATAGATACAAACATTATCAAATTCTTCAAAACCAGACAAAACAATTACAAATGTACATGTATTTCACAAGCAAAATGTTAAATTACTTAATAAAACATGCAATTTAAAATTGGAATTCTAGGGTGTATATTTATCAGACTTCGCATCCACTGTCACCTACATGTAGGATGTCGCGGACAAAAATACTGGGGCCTTATTCGTGAATACATAAACTAAAACATTTTAAGAATGTATCCGTTTCATTGGCTAAGCATTAAGATCTGTAGTAGGATTTAAAATCTTAACCAATTAAAATTCTGAATCCTTAAAATAGTTTATTGTAAGATTTTGTTTATAAGGTCATAGAATTCTATGAATTATATATATTGTATGTTAATTGTTAATCAATATATACAAAATAATATGGATATGCCATAAAATCTACATTTATATAATGTTTTCAAGTCGTATTAAATCAAACATACACACTATATCATAAACTGACATGCTATTTTAAATTTCTGATATAATATACATTTTGTGTTTCGGATTATAGACATGACTACAGACCTTCAAAATTGAGGTAGCACGTCATTTCGGTCCAACATCATTTTGGACTCAACACAAACGTCGTTTTGGAGTCAGTTTGACGACTTTTCAAACTTACTTGGCGACTGACGACTTTTCTTGGACTCAGTTTCGGACTCAATAAAAGTTACCCGAGTCCGAAACGTCGCCTACTCGAGTTCGGAACGTCAAGGGCATATAGTTTTGAGTCCAAAATGACGCGGGATCAAAATGGCATGTAACCAAAATTAAGGAGCTAGTTAAGGGGATTTCAAATTTTACTAAATGTGTGCACCATTAAATACATGTAAACACATAAGATAATACTTTACTGTAACAAAACATCAATTAAGGCATGATTAATGCTGTTACAATATTTTCAAAAAAAAAAAACCAATGAAATGAAATAAACAGGGTTTAACATCCTATGTTTTGTACCGACTGGGCTATTGAAGATGGGCAACTCAGACAGTGGCGCTACCATCTACTCTTATTTCTAGTTCCAACTGTTAAGGGCTCTTTACATGTGCAAACAGGACCTTATTTTTTTGACCCATCCAAATAACTAGACACTGTCATTACTAGATTATTATCAAGTCAACTAATAAACAACTGAAAACTAACTTGCATAAATATATATATAATAAACCTATAAACTGATGTATGCAGTAAAACATGCAACTCTTTAACTATTAACTTACAAACATTATAAACAATAGATGGCTGACGACGTTTATATCTTGCACCTGTAGAGAAAAGCAGACATTATGACATCCAAAATCAACTGTGTTATCGATCAAGTGTCATCTGTAGTGTTTTAAGTCGGCAGACAAGCGGTGCTATTATAGTATATTCAGCGCATGGCCAGGGGTCTTTCCCCGAGGGAGGAAACCAGAGTACTGTAGCCAGTGTAATCCCACTAGGTTGAGTAGGCGCCCCTATCTCGAAAGCTAGACCACAAGCCAGTAGTAACTGGCTAGCTCGCCACACAGGCCATCCAAAACCCCTGTGGATCAAGTGTTCTGTTTCCAATTTCATATAGTCTAAAGCAATCTAATAAGAGAACTTTAGAATTCTATCTTGAATTTGGAAAAACACTCAATATATCCCCTCTGATGAAACTCCTAATATCCTGATACCAGTTCTTATATTCATACTATTTCAAATTTAAAAAGAAAATCTTTCATAGGTACCATTAGCTTGTTCTCTGACCAGTTAATGTCAAATGAATTGAATCACACAATAAAAACTACAGTAATATACTCTATTAAGAAGCCAAAGTAAAAATAAAACACCTTGAGAGGAAATCTGAAATTTAAACCAATGAATACACTGAACTCAAAATATCTAAATCCCTTTTAATCAAAAGAGAGTGTATGCTATTGGTTAATCCTCATTTTTTTCTACTTTCAGCCAATAGAAAGAGGTTTATCATATTTGGATTCTAATTGAAAAAGCATGTAGCTTGTTATGTAATAATGCCTCCCAGACTATCACCAGACAATTATGTGGCTATTAAGGTCAAATTAAGGATCAGCTAAGGTCACTGTGTAAACAATATCACCAATTAGCACCTGATCAGGTGTGAAACATTTTAAGGTTTCACAGTTTTAAAAAAACTCTCCTGGGAATCTGAAACCCAGCTTCCTAAAGTTATGTTATCTTTATATAGCCTAATAAAAAAATAAATGATATAACTAAAATGCAATATGTGACAAACTTTGAACTGGAATAATATTCACCAACAAAACAAGACAATGAAATAATCATTTAAAGAATAAAACCACCTAATTTTTAATGTATTTCAATTTATTTAAATTCTTGATTCTGATTATGACATTAAAAGTAATTTTTTAAAAATAAATTATCTTTAAAAATCTATTTTGAAATTTCTTTATTAACAGACATTCTTTAAATCCAAAATTTTACATGTGTTTTTTTTTTTGTTGTTGTTTAATGTCTCTACTTTTATCTTTAAAATTCTTAAACAAATAAATTTTGTTAAAAACTTTGTCTAGAATTTGTTTTTGTCACTGTCTAGGGCGTTTTCGGTGTTTACTTTTCATATTAGAAACACCCAGTCTTAACCTGTAACAATACACCAATCCACAGTCTATTATATAAATTTTAAAGAATGTCTCATAATTGTTGATACAGTTATATTTCATGGATGGATACCTATCAACTAACCTGTGAAAAAATAACACTACAATTTCTTTGTAGGATTAGGCCAAGCCAAAATTTTTTTTAGTTCTTGAAGTCTTCACAAACAATATTCTTTCTGTAATGTGTGAAATAGCTTTATTTAACGTCCGCTTCCACCAAGGTGATATCGCAGACAAAATTGGATTTAGAAAAAATCAGCCAAGTATTTTCTGTTGTTAAATGAATCATTTCCAGAAAAATGGAAAGCAAAATAGGTGTTACCAAAAAAACAAACATTCAAATTGGTGTGGCCTCAAAATTAATTTTGCATCTGAACACTTGAAACTGAAGTATACCACAATACAGGTATACTTACAGCAATTATATTTTTTCAAGACCTTGACATTATTTTTGTACATTTAAACATACATTATGCAAGAGCTAAATCTGCCTACTGCAGGTCATTCTTTAGACCTGAAATGTTATCTAAATTATTAATTAGACATGAACTTATCCAGACCATAATCAACTCTGGGTGCCATCGCCAGCCTGAGATATTTAGTGGAATGGAATACATTTTTTGAAAAATAATTAAACGTAAAATGGATAATCGAGACTTTGTTTTTTAATGTACCGACTTTAGTAATGATGATCGAGGCCAGTCTAAAATTCAAAATCTTATATCTTGGTTCAGGGTGGAACAATTAAACTGAAATATTCAGCATATTCTATTTACAAAAGGAATAATATTTTTTGAGGATTTTGATAATTTTTTTGTATTATTGAATACAAATGAAATCCTTAGTTTTATATGACATCTTACCCTTGTGAAATTCTTGCCAAGAATAACTTTCCAATGGCTATTTTCTGGTTTTATATTTGGTAAAGGTTAATCATCTCTGATTAAGTTTAATTGGTTGAGCGATACTAGTATAGAGTACAACACCAAGATAATCAGACTGTTGAACACCATCCAAGCTCAGCTGACATGACAAACTTCCATACAATCACAAGTCTATTAGACATCGGTACTACTCTCTATTCACCATTGATAGAAGATTTAGACAGAAGTCTGACAGGATAGATAGTTACAGAAAGCAAAAATTATTCTACAAGTTTGCAAAATTGTTTGAGAAACTTTTAGAATTTAGTTTTAAAATGCTTATGTCTTGATTGTTATATTATTGATTCTACTATTAAAACAGCCAAAGTCTATGCATCATGTTCATAAGCTAATATATGAGAGAGAGAGACAGAGAGAGAGAGAGAAATGGGGTTTAACATCCGACACAAACTAGGTCATTTCGGGACTAACATATAGTTTAATTTTATTTCAATAATTTGGTTGAACCTAAGGGTCTTTAGCAGTGGGAGGAAACCGGAGGACCCGGAGAAAACCCACGAGGTTCGACAGGCGACCCTACTCTTTGTCACGTACAACCGGAAATTCAAAACCATGGCAGTTGACTCAATGACAGGCCTTATGATACAGCGTGCGCATGTTAACCATTCGGCCATCCAACCCCCTTGAATATATGAACATTTATCTGTAATGTGAAAATTCCCTCCTAGAATATTGTTTTATAACAAGTCTGAGAGAATAATATTTGATGTCATATCAAAAATCGATATAATATTTGAATTGTTATAAAATGTATAGTCTCACCTTCGGATTCGAATGTTTCATCAGCACCATCATTATCACCAGTAGGAAATACACTGTACGTACGACTTCTCTCGAGTTTATCATCATCTCCCTATAATATATAAAACACATTCTAAACTAATTCATCAGATACATAATATATCTTGTACTTGACAATATCTTTTTCAGGATAGAAGATTTCCGTCTTCCTGAGTGTATCATAATAAGTACACTTTGTCACATTTTCAGTTAAGAAAACTTGCTGTATGTTCTCCAACTGGGAATTAGTTGGCATACGGTTTAAAGCAACTCTCCCACTTCCAACACTTGAAGGGGGTTTCAATTTTATTCAAAAGAAATAGTTGAAAGGAGTAATTATTTCAATAATTCGCTTGTGTGTAGGGATCTTTAGCAGTGGGAGGGTACCGGAGAAAACCTACAAGGTTAGAAAGGTGAACCTACTTTTTGTCACAACCAAGCTGCTAATCACAACCATGCCACTAGACTTAATGACAGAATGCACGATCAAAACAATTATGAGCCTGTCGATTATTATGTCTTCTAAAATAATTCCATTTTATAATGACATGTACGTACAATACTAAGAAGAGGAGAATATTGCCAAGAAATTAGCATTTACATACAGTCAGCATACGGTAATTAGCTAGTTAAAGCTAAATGGAATAATCAAACTGTCAAAGGAAACTTACTTTTTTCCTTGGCTTCCTGTACATTTGTAGTTTATGTTAAAATGATTTTTAGAACTTATCGTATTTCACAATATATCTATGATTCACATGTTTATAATATTAATGTGTGTCATTTTTCGAGAGACTATAGTACGCCTGTTGATTATGACAGAACACCTGTTGTCAATCAATATTTCAGTTTACCGTACAATCCCGCATAAAGCATTAATAAGTCTATTGAACATTCTATTTAATGTGAGTGGGTATTCTAGTGTGACACTATTCAAACATTGTTTTTAAATCATTTACGGTAAACTATTAGCATAAAATTTAAACTAGCATAATTTGCAAATGAAAATGAGAATTTAGAACATTCAGTGTAGTTATCTCCCTTTACTCAGTTATACAGATTAAGGAAAATAGCAAGTGACAATTAAAGCTGCCAATTCTCAGAGGTGGGAACAAGTCGTTGGACTTACGAGTCCAAGTCTCTGACTTTAGTAGGCCTACCAAGTCGAGTCTTTACAAAGCCTAAATCTCAATTAAGTTGGCAATTCATGGCGATCAATAAGGGAAGTTAGAGTTATGTCCCCTCACCACGACGTGTGTGCATTGTCGTGATATATATTTCAAGTCAAGTCAAAAGTTGGATCTTTGGTGCGACTCGGGTTCACACCTCTACCAATTCTATAAGTATCTTGTTTATCAATCAATATTCATTCCAGAGAATTTGATAAAGTTATCCCCCTTTGTGATTTAACACAAAAGGAATTTGATTCTTAATCGCATTTCGAATGATCAAGTTCATCAAGTGGGAAAAGTTTGCAAGAGGACAGCAGGTTGATTTAACACTTGATAATGATATACAAATGTAAGCAGGACCTTTATTTTGTTAATTCATCAGCCCACATTTCCATGTGAACGTATTATGTTGTTACCATGTCCGTCTGTCTGTTCACATTTTTTGTGGACACCCAAAGGTTACAATTTTTACCCGATTTTGCTGAAAATTAAAAGATATCTTTGTATCCCAAAGATCTTTGATGGGTTTGATTTTTGACACATATCAGACCATAACTTCTTGGATTAAAGCCCCTGATTGTATGAAAATTGTGTACATAGCTTGTGGTTACAATTTTTATCTGATTTGTTTAGAACTTAAAACATATTTTTATATCCAAAAGATATATGTGTTCAATTTTGGCACACATCGGACAGTAGCTTTCTGGATTATTGCCCATTACGGTAAAAAAATTGCAATATATAACTTGTGAGCCCGATCGAGGTTCCATTTGTTTTTAATTTTAATTAACGTTGAAATATATGTTCATTACATCACAATCACGGAACAAACCTTCCTATTAAAATGGGCCCTCTGCCTTTACACAAACTGTGGCAAAGCATGTACCGGTAATACATATACTAAGATTGTGAACCCCGTCCAATTTACTTAAAACTTACAATAGGATCAAGTTATTTTAGATGAGTTCCATTTTGATGCACATCAGACCACAATTACTTGGTGTATGGCCTGTGAAATATACGCAAAATGTGAAATATGTACATAGATTTTTTACCCTCTAAATTCCACAATTTTTGTCTGAGATGAAATTAACATAATTGTTAAGGATCAACAGGTCTCGGATGTGATTGATTGTGGTTGGCATTGGACAACAACTCCCTTGGTTATGGCCCCTATCATTTATGCAAAATGTCTAACAAATGTTGTAAGCTCCAGTGTGATGAATTGGGAACATGTGAGCATGAATCGTTATTTTGGGTGGTAATCACATACATATTAGACTATTCAGACATTTTACATAACAATTCATCATGAATTAATTTTGATTAATGGGAACTTAATTATCCTATACTATTCAAAAAAAGTAGGGGATATTTGATTTTTAAGTGTTATTAAAGTCACCTAATGAAACTGACGAAGAAACAAATGACAAAATGAAATGAAGTTCACATTCATCGATTTATTCCAAATGATCGTTAGACTAAGTAAGGCACAGACTGACCATTATAAGGGTAAAATGATACCCGGGGTCAAACAGCAAAGTTACCACAGCATCACAACCAAGTCAGTAACGGGTAAATCCTCCTCTGTTTGCCAAACAAGCATTGATCCGACGTGGCATACTCCTAATGAGACGTCTAAGGTCCTTTTGGTCCAGATTGTCCCATTCCTGTTGCAACGCAGCAGCAAGTTCTTGGACATTGGCAGGACGTTGTTGACGTTGACGTAACCTCTGTCCAAGCATGTCCCAGACATGCTCGATGGGGGAGAGGTCGGGACTCAGTGCTGGCCAAGGTAATGTGGTGATGTTCTGTTGTTGGAGGTAACCTGTAACGATCCTGGCCCTGTGACATCTTGCGTTGTCATCCTGGAAGATGAAACGGCGGCCATGACGTCGTGCGAACGGCACAACATGGACTGCCAAGATGTTGTCCCGGTAGTACTGGCCTGTAACACGCCCTGCAACAACATGTAAAGCCGTTCTTCCAGCAACAGTGATGCCTCCCCACACCATAACAGAACCACCCCCAAATCAATCATGTCTGAAGACGTTAACGTCTTGGAAGCGCTCGTTTCGACGACGCCACACCCTCCTACGTCTGTCCAAAAAATCAACAGTGAACCTTGACTCATCTGAAAACATCACATTGCTCCAGCGTCGATTATCCCAGTGTTGACGATCCCTACACCAACGACGTCTTGCCTGAATGTGATGATCTCTCAAACAAGGGATCACGCAGAACGTCGGGCGCAAAGGTGACCCGTATGCAGTCGATTCCGAATCGTCTGGCCACTCACTCTCACACCAGTGTCTGTTTGAAGACGAGCGCTGATCTGATTTGCTGTGATGACACGATTTCTCAAGGCCAAGGTACGGATAAATCGATCCTGGGCTTGAGTTGTCGCCCTTGGTCGACCTGAGCGTGGTCTGTCCTGTACAGATTGTGTATCACGGTATCTGGACCATAGCCTGCTTATGACAGACTGAGAAACATTCATCGTCCGCGCCACAACCGCCTGTGTTGTGCCGATCTGTAGCATGCTAAGGGCACGTAACCTTTCATTTTGGGTAAGCCGACGCATATCAAAATTTGTTTTCTGGTCACTAAAACAATTAAACTGATGTTTCCACCCTGGAATTCAATGCCACAATGACTAACATTCACAGTCAGAGTCGTGCAAATCTTGGGTTGGACCCCCATGATAATCCCAAGCATCACCTGCATTCCATGCGGTAGCTATTGGTGCGTTTGGGCGTCACATGTAACTGGAAATGTTTCTTCTGTTAGGTTCTATAGTGACTTTTTTCGTGGTCATTTGCATATTTTAGTATTATGCCCCCAAAATCAAATATCCCCTACTTTTTTTGAATAGTATATTTCCTACCAGGACCCTTTTTGCTCCGATTCTGACAAGTCTGTTTTAAAATGGATTAAGAACCCTATTGATTCGACGGTCACCGTCAGAAAAAAACCTATTGATAATCTGTATTCTGGAACCTTCCCCTCCAGAGCGAGACCCCAACCCACTCACTGCCTTGTGAATAGAGGCTATAGTTTTCAATCTTTTTATTTATCCAATTTGGTGTAAAGCATGAACTGCAGTTGATATACATTGCTCCAATCGTTCCATTATGGAGTTATCCCCCTTTTGCCAGTGTAAAGTATTGGGGTCATGAGAGGACAAAACAAATCGATAATCAGTGTTCTGCAATTTTTCACTTTAGAATTATGCTAACATGTACACAGAACCTCAGTTTTCAGTCCCATCCGTCCTACATCACTGACAAAGTAGAACCAGCCATTAAAATCCTGAGTAACTTTCGAGGCAGGCACTGGTATGGAAACCTGAATCTTATGTTTAGTGAACCAGAGCCTTACCTCGTAAACCACTGTGGCTCCACAACCAATGTAAAAAAAACAAACAATTGATTCTTTCGAAACTTTATGTCTTAAGTAATAAGTAATAGTGCCTTATTAACATCTTGACCAAAACCTTGCTGATTTTATATGATTACCCAGTACTTTCTGAAACAAACTCCTTCAAGAAAAACAAGCTATTGATTCTTCTGAAAATTAATGACTAAATAATTTGTCTGACTCTAGTCCAATACATAAATATTTAATTTTACATTCTCTTGAAGAAAAACATCAATACCGGCAGGTAACATATGTTCATATCACCGTAACATTTCGATATTTACTTTATCGTAAAAACTGCATGAAATAAAATTACAAAGCATACACTGTATGATATCTCAAGTTATGTGTAGTGACTTGTTCTGACATAAATATTTGAAATACACACCAGAATCAGAAAAACATACTCTAGTTGTCCGATTCGTATCTGTAATGAATGTTAAAAATTTAAAGATTCTGTTAGTGTGCCTGATAGCATTATGTGTAACGCTGTTTATACGATGGATGGTTGTCTTGGATACCAAAAATATTCACATGTTAAAAAAGTCTGATTTCATAGGTTCATTTAAACCTATGTTAAAAAAGTCTGATTTCATAGGTTCATTTAAACAAGACAGCCTTAAAGACAAACATGTAACGCATGCAGGAAGAAATCTAGTACAACAATGCCATTCTGAACGACAGAACTTTGTTTTTATAAAAGTTATGAAATGTGCAACCGAGAGTTTAGGACCAATGTTCCGGAAATTTGGATATGATAGAAACTTAACCTATGTGCTTCCAGTGGAACACATGATTTGGATCGGTTGGCCGTTTCCACTGAATGAGTATGACTACAGACCTTCACGGAAGCCATACAATATATTAATAGAACATTCTATATACAATAAAACCACATTCCGAAATTTAATGCCAAATAACTCCATTTACATTTCTAGCCTCCGGGAACCATTCGTTCGATTCAAATCTGCGTTTAACTGTTTTAATCTGGTGAATCTGTGCCACATGACTAATAAGACTGACCCCATACCAGAATATCTAAATCTGGTTAAAAACGTACCAAATTATAACTGCACAGGCATCTTTACTGACTGGAGACCACATTGCCCGAAAGTTAGTTTCTCGCAGACGCATAATGAGATGTCACATACTCTTGGGATGCCATTGGGTTTTCCTCCTGGTCGACCAAATATTGAGAATGATCTTCCAGCTGTACTGGATTATATTCAAAAGCTAGACAACGATTTTCATTTAATTATGATAGTTGAGTATTTCCACGAATCTTTAATTCTATTAAAAAGACTAATGTGCTGGACGTTCAAAGATATATTTTATATCAAACGCCACGTGGCAAACTATCCATACAAAAAAATAAAACCCCAAAAAGCAGATGTGGAATTTTACCAAAAATGGAATCGCATCGAGTATCTCCTGTACGATCATTTTAATAAAACATTGTGGAATAAAATTTCTAAAGAATCTGACGATTTTTTTGATGAGGTGGTGGCATTTATCAAATTTCAAGAAGAAGGAGAGAAATATTGTTTGTGGAAGGAATACAAAAAGAAAGGAGATGATATCCATTATTTCGAGGAAACAATATGGAGTCCCAGTTTTAATATAACAGCCGTCGATTGCCATCTCTTGTTAACAGACATGTTAAAACATCTTAAAGACGTTTACGACATTCACGAGAGACCTCATCATCATCAACAGCCTGATCTCAAAACCTGTCATCTAGAGTTTTAGATACCTACATTTTTGCTTAGTTGTTAAAAGTTGCAAGTGATTGGATAAAATAAATTTCAGAATCGCACTGAATAATTTAACGTTGTCGTTTACAATACACGATAAACTGACCCTTATATGTAGATATACAGGTCACAGTTATATGGAATACAATTACTGCTTATTATTGAGCGATGCTTCGAAGGGGGTTCTCTTGTCTTCATCATTGCTAATTAGCATAAATGTTTTAGAGTGAGGTTCTTAATACTGCAGCCCGAATAGTAACAAGGGACACATAAGTTTGATCACATCCAGAATGTGCTGGCTTCTTTACATTGGTTACCTGCTGAGGCGCGAGTCAAATACAAAATACTAACATTAGTGTATAAATGTCGCAATAATGCAGCTCCTCAATACTTATCTGAACTCTTATATGACTACAACCCTATTAGATCACTTCGCTCTCAAAATAAACAGTCACTAGTTGTTCCAAGATATAATTTGAAGTCATATGGGTATAGGTCTTTCAGTTCAGCTGGTCCTAGATTATGAAAAGAACTTCCACAACAGATCAAGAATCAACAAACTTTTAATCAATTTAAATCCGCACTAAAGACTTTCCTGTTTCAACAGTTTTACCAGTAGAGCCATTACAAAAAGCGTTTTGAGCATGTGTCAACATGGAGAAGACGCTATATAAAACTTCATTATTATTATTATTATTATTATCTATAACTTGTTTTGATGAACGACCAGACATCTTCCTTAGCGTTAGTCTTTTAGTGTGAGACCTAAGACTGATCAACTAACAGATTATCCTTAGTATAGTATTGGTCAAAATGGGGGTTCTGTTAATGAACATATATTGCAAATTATCCTCACCACCACCCACCACCCCCTCCCTTGATTTCAACAGTCCTAATTCATATTTATCTCGCAACATGTCAAATTTCAGAGTAATGATATTTCTTACAGACTAATGAAATTATTGCCGGATAAGTTCACTAGACAATCAAGCACTTAAAGTCTATTTCAAACCCTGAGATGAGTTGTCATATATTATTTAAATAGGTTATATGGTAGAATAACTGACAATGATTAATATAATGAAGGAAAATGTGTCAATTTATTGACTGTTAACACCTATGGTAATAACCATTATTTGTTTAAAGATGTATTCCCACTAAGTATTTATTGGGTAGTTATAGGTTTAAAGATGTATTCCCACTAAGTATTTATCAGTTATAGGTTTAAAGATGTATTCCCACTAAGTATTTATCAGTTAATTATAGGTTTAAAGATGTATTCCCACTATGTATTTATTGGGTAGTTATAGGTTTAAAGATGTATTCCCACTAAGTATTTATCAGTTATAGGTTTAAAGATGTATTCCCACGAAGTATTTATTGGGTAGTTATTTCCAATAAAAGTATGGTAAATTCGGTATACTGACACCCAATCTTACTGGATCTACTCACTGCTGAGTGCTGAAAAACATTTATGGAGAGAGCAAAGGACAAAAATGTAAGGGTGTCACTAACTGGCAGGCTGTCGACTTGTCTGCTAGAGTAACTTAGGAAGCGACTGGTATGTGTTGCTCAGGAGAAACTTAAACTTACAACAGAACAGACTGTGCAAAATTAAACAGTAGAAAAAGAAACTGTGAGTAATAACAAAATCGAGCTGTAAATGGCACGTCATGTGACAAATAAGGCTGCTTAAAATAGATTTTTACGGCTTTGGGTAGTTCCTTCTGATTAAAATATTCTGAGAGGGTTTTGGGGCAAACTTTGATACTTAAATTAGTTTGAATATGTTATAGTCCAAATATTTCATCAAATCACACAGTTTGTACATGGGAAGGTATCTTTAAAGCCTATATAAATAATGTCATCTGATATGTTTGGTATAAATATCTGTTATTAATAAAATATAATATTACAGGAGCAAGTTTTTGTGTATTTTAAAAGTGTTCTTAAATTTTTTAAAACAATCAATTACCTTATAACTAATGCTCAGTTGTGTTTAAAATACATATTCAATTTCCTCTAGCCGTGAGCGGGGGGGGGGGGGGGGGGGGGGGTATTGGGAGAATAACCTGGGGTCTCCCTTCAGCTAAATCAGTCATAGACTTGTGTTATCATTGTATAACATTTCTAATGTTTTTCAATGAAATCAGTATTTTACCAGTCCATGGAGAAACTACAAATGATTTCAGCGTTCGTTCTACAAATCTATCCAGCGGCATTATTCACCAAATCTACCACGTCACATAAAATATATTAGGAATTCAGAATTTTCATTGGTCAATAGATAAAATGTGTACCAATAAAATACCTGGCTTCTTAAAATATTTTAGTTTTTGTAAATTAAATTGGATAGGACACATGTAAACACAACATTTTGGCTCAACACATAAAAAAGATAATATGTGATAAAAATTTATTATACAAACTACAACCAATACAACTGGAAATGTGCTACAATGTAAACATCAAGCAAATATTAAAATAAATACGTTTTTTAAAAGAAAGGATAATAACTGACTCATCAACATTTATGTGAGATTTAGATGAAGAACTGGTCGTTTTCACTATAATAGTTTCAAAATAGATAATCAAAAATGAATATATTGAAAATTTCAGTTAAATTGTTTTATTCTCAGCAAAGTTATGAATGCTTGAAATTTTGACAAGAATAGTGTTGTCTCAATTGTAATAGCTACGATAAAAAACACATTCTTGATTTTTTATTTTTTCATTAACCGACTGAATGGTGTGGATGGTCTAATCCAACTAATATCCGAGCCATCCAACAGTCTAAAGAATTGAGTATGGGCTTCAAGTGTGAATAAATATCTAAATAATAATTCAAACATTTGAAGCCTGAAAAAAGACTTCAATTAAAGATCAACAGGAAGATTTAGCCTTTACTAATAATGCATCTTTAACATAAATTTGTTTAAATGGTTTTCAATTCTGTCATAATCATATTATAATGAATCATTCAAGTTTATCATATTATAAGGAATGATTGAAATTAATCATATAATTAATGACTAAAATTAATTATATGACAATTGACAAGGAATGATTAAGACTATATAATGCCAGAAATGATTAAAACTCATCTCAGTTATAATGAAATGAAATGAAATGGAGTTTAACGTCCTACTGTTCTGCTCTAAACTGGGCTAATGAAGGCGGGCATACGCCATACAGTGTGCTATGAGGAAAATTTTGCCCGGAGAGCAGCACTACCGCCTACTCTTATATCAAATTCCAACTGTCAAAGGATCTTTTACATGCACACCAATGTGTACACAGGACCTCGGTTTTTTCGTACCATCCAAATGACTTAGACAGCTGTCCTTGTCAGGCCCTCCGTCCTGCATCATTGATAAGACAGAACCACGCCAGAAAATCTTGATCAACTTTCTCAGCCAATGCAGGGATCGGACACCTGATCTCCAGGCTAGCGTCTTACCCACTTAGCCATCGTGATCCCACAGTTATAAGGAATGATTAAATCTAATATTACCAGGAATGATGAAAAATATCAAATAAGAAATGATTAAAACTATCGCACATTTAATTAAAATGACAACGAATGATTAATATTACCAGGAATAATTAAACATATCACACATTACAATTGGATACTTCAATAAGTTAGATTTCTTGGGTCCTTTCACAATCTGGAAAATTTGAGTTCAACTCTACAATATTGAAGATTATTTATAGGGAAGTGGGAGTATCATCCTACCTCTGTGCCCTGAGTGACTAGACACTTCTAGTTAATGATTACACAGTGTCAACCAATAGGTTTAACTTTGCTATGTAATTTGAATGATATGTAACAAATATATATATGTTTCCTGGTAGTTAGGATATGGTGTTTAACAATTTGATTAAAATACAGATCTTTATTTCGTTTTGTCGTTCTTATACTTTCGATGGTCTCTACTACATGAAGATCTGACCAGTTGTAGTGGGAGGTCGTGTCAGGGGTCATATGTGCTGCTTTTGACCCTATGTTGTCACACATGTGATTAACCAATCAGCGTTGTTTCTAGTAGGATACCCACAGTTCCACACATGGCATGCCAAGAATTCACTCCAACAGACCACATCAATCAGAACGCAGGTTATATAACAACTCTTCCAGATCCTAGTTTAGTAAAGACAAGTCAAACAAAATTTTGAACTATAAAAAACGAAACGACATAGGATCTGTGTTTTGATCAGATTGGGTGACAGGTTCAACAAATGTTTATATATTTAGCAATGTCACTTATCCGCTGTCGAGAAAACATATCTTTAAGTACGAATGCCAAAAGAATGAGTTGTGAAAAATGAGTTTTGAGTTATAAATAAATATTGTATATTTCAATATCTTGCTCTGTCGGAGGTCACACAAATTTATTTTCTGTTCTTCAGGATTTGGATAAATAAATAACCACTGAATCATGTGGAAGATGTTTTATTTAAAATTTGAAAAACTTAAAAAGTGGAACTAAAAGCTTTTCAACAGCACAACAAAGTTATTTTGGTTTTAATTAAGTCTTTTTTGGAGGAAATAAGAAGAAAAATATTTGCAGATGTTCCCAAAGAAAAGGAAATTAAATTGGTGTGGCCTACATTAATTTCTTGCACGCATTAATTTCTTGCACACATTAATTTCTTACTAGCATTTATTTCTTGCTCGCATTTATTTCTTGCTTGCATAAATTTCTTACTACTAGCAATAATTTCTTGCTCGCATTAATTTCTTAATAGCATTAATTTCTTGCTCACATTAATTTCTGATGTATAGTATTAACACAGAGCTTTGGACAATTTTGAAACTTTAACACCATTTTTACCTACATATTTATCATTAATATCTCGTAGTTTTTCCAACAAATAATACCGTAACGATGGACATTCTTTAGCCTCGAATTCAAAATCATCCGTATATAAATTATTTGTCACTTCAAAGACTTTTGTAGAATATACATCATTTGTGAAACAAAATCTTGTAATGTCCAACTTAATCTGCTGGAACATTCTTACTTCATCAACAAAGTTTCCAGGATACTCTTCAACTTTCCGCCAAAATGTTTTGTTAAAGTGATCAAAAAGTTGATAGTCTAAAAAATCATACTCTTTGTGCAGATGTAGGTTTTCAGGAGTTTTTAGCAATTGCACGTTGCCATAAGAACCCTTATTTTGAGTCCAGTAGAGGATATCTTTAAAGCTCCAACAAAACTCTTGTTTCAGTAAAATTAACGATTCATCATAGTAGTCCATGATCATAACCAAACTAAATTCCTTTTCCAACTTTGTGATGTATTCTGCCACAGCTTGAGGATCTGAAGCAATGTTTTGTTGTCCATCAGGAAAACCTAATGGAAAACCAAGACAGTGCGATAAAAGATTTTTGGTAATGGAAAATCCATCGGGTATGCAATAACGAGTCTTCGAGGCTTGATGACTTTTATAAATAGTTTCGTATTTGTCAATATTATGTAAATATTCTGTGATCGGCTCTTTAGAGGTCATTTTTGTTATATTATGAATCCTAAAATAGTAAAATGTTGATACAAAATGGTTGAAAGGTTCGCGAATCATTGTGATGAACTTGTTATCCGACGGCATTATTTTACGCATGATCGTATTGTTATATATCGCATGCTCCACGAGAATATTAAAGCCAAGCTTTGATGGACGGTAATCGTAAGTCTCCATCTGATAAGGCCATCCCAGATATAATCGTTTTTCCACTGGTAGAACAAAAGTTAAATTTCTCACAAAACCATATCTTCGGAAAACCGTTCCAAGAGTTTCCGTTCCACACTTCATACATTTTATAAACGTAAAATTATCCTGAGGTTTACACATGGGGTCACGTTCAATGGGACTATCAACATATAAATTACGATTGATGTCTCTTTCTAAGATAAAATCTGATTTGGAATTGTCAGTTTCGATATCCACGTACAATAATGACAGTAAATAAAAACACAATAAACACAAAGTTGTTAAAAAAAGCATCAACACCCGTCTTTTCCTCATTTTCACAACCGAAAATATTTCTGTTTGCTTTTGCCAAGTTAACCGTAAATTAAGGATCAATTGTTACACTTATCAATATAACATCTGCTGCAACTGGATGAACATTGTCCATTTGTTCAAGATGCTAACATGATATAAAATGAAAGTAGGATACTTGCCTCTAGGCATACAACCTTCTAATCATACCTAGGTGAATACTTATAGTGGAAAGACATCCCATTAAAACGAAAAGATCAATCACATAAATACAGATAGATTATTATCAATTAACTTGCACACTATCCGATCACACATTCCATCGGACACTTAAAAATAGTCATAAAGATTATTAGAGAATTATATTTGTAGACCATTTTTGCAGATGGTTTCAAGTACGAAATCACCATCCGATCACACTGCTAAAATATAACATTTCATCGCACACTTTAAACCTGTTATACATAACTATATAATTATTAGAGAATTATATTTGTAGACAGTATTTGCAGACGGGTTCAAGTACGAAATTGAATTGTAAAAGTCCCGGCAAACATAAAGGTTGGTTTCTACTGTCAATTATTGCTCTGGACAATAGCAGACAATTGAAAAATGAAGTTAATCCAGCCAGAGTAACTATTTTGTTACTTGCTCTCTTCGTTGATCAACAGGTTTATATGTACATTAGTAACGTTTACACAGGTCACAATTACTGAGCTACATTTTGACCAGGCTTCTCTAGTCTTTATCATTAGTAATGTTAATGAATTAAGGATGGTATCATTCAAATCACGTAAGTACTCGTAATTGATGGCCTTTGAGAAAAATTCATATCCAAAAAAACTCTCTTAATCACTTCAATCGAACACCTTAACACATTAAAGTTACTTCTGCAAATCAATTAAAAGATGGTATAGGCTATATATACAATTAAGTAACAAATGCCTTCTAAAACAAATCACAGCAGAAAAATTCATATAAGACTCTTTGAATCACTTCAATTGCACACTGTTAATTTATTACCAATGTATTAAAAGTTACTTTTTATCGATGGTACTGGTGTAATATTTAAAATTAAGAAATGATTGCCTTCTAAAATATCACGGCAGTTAATCCAGAAACACCTGTCTTTAATCCACCAATAAAAACTAACACAGAGATTAGTTCGCATGCACAGAACTTTCAAATCATCACATAACAAAATTTGGTATCAAATGAAATTTTATCTGAAATGTACCATAAAAATTTAGTTAGTAGCAATCTAAAAGAGATTTATCATCATTTAAAACTATCAATATAATATTCTATATTAACGTGCAATGGGATTTAACATCGTCCAACTCTACAGTACCAACCTGACCAATGAAAACGTCTCTGTCAAAGCTTTGATATAGTTTGTTATCTGTTGTATCAAGCCATTCATGTAAGACATTCATAGAAAAAATATAGTTCCTTTAATCCTAAAGGGAGAAGCAATCTAATTCATTAATAAACATAAATGGTCTTTTCCAAATGAGTAGAAATACAATTTAAAGCATAGTATTTTTAATAATTTCCAAAAACAAACCATAATTTGCATTGAGTTAAATCAGACTGCAAACCTCCACATTCCACAAAAAGGTTTTAAACTGAAATTCTTAAATTGATTGATTAGAAAAATAAGGTTTGTTTACGGAAAGCGAGAATATTGTAAGTCCCAAAGCTGAAACTCTTAGTAATTTTAACTCAATAAGCATGTTTGAAATTTAAAAAGATTTAGATAAATGGCTGTCCGTTCTTTCTATAATAGTTCCAAAATAGATAATGCAAAATGAATATATTTAAAATGTCATTCAAATTACTTTATTCTGAACGAAGTTATCAAGGTTTGTAGTTTTGATGTGTGCATTGATTGTTTATTATCGTAACCTCTGTACTGGTTGTTCAAGACTAAACCTCACTTATCCATTTCTATATTAAATCATTAAATGGCCAAACTGTTCTAATCTGCTTAAAATCGGGGTCATCTGATCACCTAGAGAGTTGATTATGGTCCTGCCATGTGAATAAATGTCTAGATAATAGTTAATATAACATTTTAGGCCCAAAGAAAGACCAGAAATAGGCAAATTTAGCTCTTACATAATGCATCTTTAATAGCTGATTAATGACCCAAATTAATCTGACTTAAGATTCATCAATCATAGTTACTTTAAAGAAAGTCTGTCAATACTAGATCACAAAGTAATACAATAATATGTGGAGTTCAACATAAAAACATTTAAAGTAGCACCAGGACGTTAAACCCCATTTCATTTTAACGAAACAATATTCTAATTAATCTATGAAAAAAACAACCGCATCCTGTCTTTGCATGCAGTTAAAGCATATTATATTATGGTCATCCCCTAACTAACTTACCGAATTTTACAAACCTCCATATTTCACAAATACAAGTTTTGAAAGCTCTAATTCTTAAATTAGTAGGTGGGCACAGTCTTACTGTTGTTTTAATATGCAGTTTACCACACGAACATGTCAACGTTTATATAGATTTAATATTAAATCTCGATCTGTTGTATATTGTTAACACAGCTGAAATACTAACCATGTCTATGTCACTATACATAATTGATACCTATATCATGTCTTATTTCAATATCAAAATACAACCTGAAAATCTAAACCACACTAAGTATTAATGAAGGGGTTGTGTACACATACATAAAATTAAATGTAATTATTTGTTTAAGCTGGATACAGAAAGCATAATTTTTACATATGATATGTCATTTATTTGAAATTTAATCCAGTTTAATAAGATAAGTTGCCAGGCAACAAACCATACGCCCACTGCAGCTAAATCGTCGGAGTGGTCGACAAGGGTTGTCGCATATTTATTCCTTTGTAGGTAATTTGGGGCCTTTACAAGACAATTCCATGCAGATCAGATTATAAATTTTGTTGTTGGAGGGTTTACAAGGTTCTACAAACTGAAACAAGGGTCTCAACTCTGGAAGTAATCTACAGAAATTGTTGAAATTTGACAGGCTTTTTCGTTTTGCTAATTTAAATAATGCATATAAATTTCATACAGATCACATGATCACTTTTGTCATTTAAACGTTCACAATCGCCATAACTCTAGAAATTATTGACTAAATTGCTGAAATTCAATAGGCCTGTTTCACAAATTTAAATGATGCATATAAATTTCATACATATCGGATGATAACTTGCATAAATCGAGCATTAACAAGGTTTAACAAAGTGAAACAAGGGCAATAACTCTAGAAGTAATTATTGTAAATTGCTGAAATTCAATAGGCTTTTTCGTTTCACTAATTTAAATCGTGCATATAAATTTCACAAAGATCAGGTGATAACTTTTGGCAGAGCGTTCACAAGGATCAATAAAGTGAAACAAGGGCCATAACTCTAGACGTAATAAACGGAAATTGCTGAAATTCAATAGGCTTCTTTGTTTCAGTAATCTAAATAATGCATATAAATTTCACAAAGATTGGGTGATAACTTTTGGCATTGGAGCGTTCACAAGGTTTAATTAAGTGAAACAAGGGCCATAACTCTAGACGTAATAAACGGAAATTGCTGAAATTCAATAGGCTTCTTCGTTTCACTAATTTAAATCATGCATATAAATTTCACAAAGATTGGGTGATAACTTTTGGCGTTAACAGGGTTCACAAGGTACAGTAAAGTGAAACAAGGGCCATAACTCTAGATGTAGTAAACAGAAATTGCTATAGGCTTCTTCATTTCACTAATTTAAATAATGCATATAAATATTGGAAAGATCGGATGATAACTTTTGGAGTTAGAGCGTTCACAAGGTTCAATAAAGTGAAACAAGGGCCATAACTCTAGATGAAATAAACAGAAATTGTTGAAATTCAATACGCTTCTTCGTTTCACTAACTTAAATATTGCATATAAATTTCACAAAGATCAGATGTTAACTTTTGGCATTAGAGCGTTCACTAGGTTCAACAAAGTGAAACAAGGGCCATAACTCTAGACGTAATAAACGGAAATTATTGAAATTAAATAGGGTTCTTCATCTCACTAATGTAAACAACATATATCAATTTTAAAACAATTGGATGATAAGTTTTTTTATCAGTTTAAATTTGCCAGAAATGATATTACGATATTTGATCCATTATGTGGTAACAAAGTTTAATCCTATTACATTCATCAGATAATTTAACAGTCCCTGAAAATGATTTTAAGTCACTAGACAAAACTGTTTTTAATTAGGTCAAATATGCAGCTATTGGCCTAATGACACCATATCTGAAATAACATTACAATAGCCTATCTACTCGATTTATTTAGTGACAAAACTTTAATCTTACATCCTTTTTTTTAATGTATTTTTCATCCACTTTATAATGTATTTAGCATGCTGATTGTAATGTATAATTTACATGCTGCCCGAAAAGGGTGTTTTATGTAATAAAATCTATCTATCTATCTATCATCCTTGTGATGTTTACTCAGCCTAGACAGTCCAACCTATGGTAAGTCACTTTACCTTATTTTGTCTATATTGGTAAATTAGTCACAATATTGAAATGAAAATTGATATCAGTAAGTTCTGTTTGAAAATAAAATTAACAGTTCACCGTGAAAAATAACCTCTTCACATAAACTGATAAACTCACTATATATATTGTGTCACACTTTTTATTAGACAAACTCTGGCTGAAAAATATGTTGCTATGTCCTATCAAATTCTCATCCACTTGCAGTAAACTTATGGAATATCAAGATGAAAACTGCTTAAATTAAAACTATATTGTTAAATAGACAAGCACAGAATTAAAAATAATTTAGGTTGTTCAAACAAATTCTCATCCACTGGCAGACAACTTAAATTATAATAAAATGGTAATTAACTGTTCAAAGATACATTATGTAAGATTTAGATAAAGAGATAGCCATTCTTGCTATAATAGTTAGAAAATAGAGAATGTAAAATGAATAATTTGAAAATTTCATTTCAAATTACTCTATTGCCAGCAAAGATATTAGCCTTTAAATGTTTGACAAGATGTGTGCAATAATTTCAACCAACGTACTAATTGTTTAAAGATAAATCTTGCTCCTCCATTTTTAGATTAAATCAAATTATGTCTGACCTGTTCTAATCTATTTAATATCGGAGAAATCTGATGCCAACGAGAGTTGAGTATGACCTGGATAAGTTACTTAATGTCTAATTAATAATTTAGAAAGCATTTCAGGCCTAAAGAAAGACCTGCAATAGGCAGATTTAGCTCTTGCATAATGTATGTTTAAATAAATTAAACTGTCAATATTGATGTCATACTGGTAATTATTATTTTCATAGTAAACTTATACAATATACTATTCAAAAAAAGTAGGGGATATTTGATTTTTAAGTGTTATTAAAGTCACCTAATGAAACTGACGAAGAAACAAATGACAAAATGAAATGAAGTTCACATTCATCGATTTATTCCAAATGATCGTTAGATTAAGTAAGGCACAGACTGACCATTATAAGGGTAAAATGATACCCGGGGTCAAACAGCAAAGTTATACAGCATCACAACCAAGTCAGTAACGGGTAAATCCTCCTCTGTTTGCCAAACAAGCATTGATCCGACGTGGCATACTCCTAATGAGACGTCTAAGGTCATTTTGGTCCAGATTGTCCCATTCCTGTTGCAACGCAGCAGCAAGTTCTTGGACATTGGCAGGACGTTGTTGACGTTGACGTAACCTCTGTCCAAGCATGTCCCAGACATGCTCGATGGGGGAGAGGTCGGGACTCAGTGCTGGCCAAGGTAATGTGGTGATGTTCTGTTGTTGGAGGTAACCTGTAACGATCCTGGCCCTGTGACATCTTGCGTTGTCATCCTGGAAGATGAAACGGCTGCCATGACGTCGTGTGAATGGCACAACATGGACTGCCAAGATGTTGTCCTGGTAGTACTGGCCTGTAACACGCCCTGCAACAACATGTAAAGCCGTTCTTCCAGCAACAGTGATGCCTCCCCACACCATAACAGAACCACCCCCAAATCGATCATGTCTGATGACGTTAACGTCTTGGAACCGCTCGTTTCGACGACACCACACCCTCCTACATCTGTCCAAAAAATCAACAGTGAACCATGACTCATCTGAAAACATCACATTGCTCCAGCGTCGATTATCCCAGTGTTGACGATCCCTACACCAACGACGTCTTGCC